CAAGCTCATTGGTTACTGATACAGCAGGCACCAATCAGCTGTGTCCTATAGAGAATGGTGTGATTGCAAGCAGATTGAGTTAAGGACCTACCAGCCTGTGCCATCTAGAGTTTCATGACAGAACTTTGTATAAATTGATGTTTTAAACAATTGTCCATTGTTGTGGCTAACAGAAATGACAAAATATAGAAAACAAATGACAGCTTGCCATATCTGACATTCATGAAAGAATTATAAAAATTGTAAAAAGTGACTCTTCACTTATATGTCAGTGTTTTTTTTTTATCACAGCTAATACAAAAATGTTGATGGATTTTTCGTCTGAAGAAAAAAGAAAAAGATATATAGACTTACTTTAATGTTACTAATGTACTTATAGACCGTGTAGATATCTGTGTGACAACTAGCCACAGTCTTACAATTCTTAATTATTTACAAGTCTCATAATTACTTATGTTTGTGCAAATACGGAGAGTTAAATGTTTGGTTCGCGCTATATACAATACTTTGACATCTACAAATCTCTGTCTCTCAACTTCAACTATAGTAACAAGGGTTATTTTTGCAGGGTTATTGTAGGTTATTTTAGAAACATGCTGGTCCATTGGCTCTATATGTCTGTAGGGTCTGCCAGTGCAGTGGAAACCTCATGAACACAGAACACAGAACTCGTCTCATCTGCCTTTCTGTGTCTCTAATCACTGCTGACAGGACCTCATTTTTAGGACAAGAAAGTGGTCATTCACGGGCTGATAAATTCACAGGGGTACGAGGGAACCTCGCCTCTGTCTGCCACAGCGGAACGAATGGTTGCAGTGATATGTCACCTTAAAGAACACAGACTGAAACGAGGGGTTAGCGGTCAGCAGGTGCCGTAACAGGACAGTGTGTTTGGAATGGGGTTGCAATGGAGATGAAGGGGGATAAAGCACAGGAAAGGGATGTGAGAACACGCAGACTGAGTTACAAGTATCTCACATTAATACAGGTAAGGCTGGGGTTTAAAGACGTTAATCGTTTAGTTGCAAATAGGACTTTTAATAGAGTAAACGAGATGCCATTTATTTATTATTTTTATAAAACTGGGATTGACTTGAGAGTGAGAAATCATAAAAGGTGAATCTCATGAGAGCATTGCCAATTTATCTAAAAATTACAGAGAAAAAAATTATAAATGATATTTTGAAGACTTCTTATATCATAATTTAATGACAGTTACTCTAAATAAATACTTTATTCATCCGTAGTACTGCCTTTATGTTGTTTATTTAAAAAATCATGTAATTTAAACCATGTAATGTAATGAGCATTAATCACTGAAATTAATGAGGAAAAAACTCAAAAGCATAAGAAGAGACTGAGAATCTAGGTGAAATTTTTACTTAATCACTATGAAAATAATGTCAAAATGCACAAAATATATATTTTGTATATATACTTTCGATTTTGGGCTTATGTTCTTTACAATCTTTGTGACTGTAAGATGAATTTCTTCATGAATACTACATGAATTTCATGGGGCAACACCTTGTATTTTTACCATATGTTATTTTAGTAATATGTACATATTATTATAGTGTTTATTCATATTTTACATTTGTATAGTTTTTATATATATATATAGATTTTAGTTTTAATTTTGTTATGTGGTTTCATATAATTTTTTTCTTTCTTTTTTTCTTTAGAAAAAAATCTATTTAGCTTTAATTTATTTTTATTTTAGTTTGAGTAACTTTAGTATTTCAACCTATTTTATTTCATAGAATATATTTAATTCTTCTAAGTTTGTTTTTTATTTATGTTTTATTATTTCAGCTTTATTTAAAATTAATCAAAACCATTTTTAATAGTTTAAGTTAACAATAACAATACTGATTTTTACATAAAAATTCTGGCTCTTAATTAATTAGCATTGATTAATGAATGCATTCCAGTCTGAGGTACGAATATTCCAGTCTTTTAAGTGCCCATCCAATGACATCACCTGTTTCATCCTCCACCCACTCATAGAGAATGGAAGGTGGGCGGGGACAACAGAACAGACACTCCCCCTGAGTGAGTGAGTGAGTGAGTGAGTGAGTGAGGGAGTGAGTGAGTGAGTGCAGTCATGCATGCAGAGCAATGTTGTTCTGAGAGGACAGATAACATAACCTTGGAAACATGCTTTACATAAATACGTGCTTTACGTCTACACTGGTTTACAGTAACAGCTTATTAGGAGAGTGTTTAATGGTTTAACTGCAATAGTGGTTTAATTGCTTAGGCATGTCTTATGAATATTGCTGTAATGTCACAGTTTGGCAATGACACTGTGCACTGAGGCGGAACATTTGGCAGCGTTTTAATGGTGTTGCAGTGAAACACCAGCTGTCCTTTAGAACATAAATTATCCTTGTTTGTTTGACCTTTGCCTAATTTTGTCATCTAAATGCTAATTAATACCAATCCAGACCAATTTTTAAACTGAATGCCAAGGCCAAGATGATTTACTGTCATTTTTCGTGTTTGCCAAGACAAGCATCTATTACTGCTCATGTTCTGGGTTAGCAGTCTTTTTTTACAGTCTGGTTTGAACCATAGATAGTATAAGAAGGTTTGAACAGTTCTTTTTTTCCTCAAAAGTTAACCAAAGACTTATGGGACATGCTAACAAGTTTGGCATTGCCTGACAATGCTTAGAAAATATGAAAATGTAGACTTTATAATGCGTTGAACAAACTCAATTCTAAATGTTTTTAACTCCTCACAAATTTAAAATGCTTTCCATTTTGCAAAGCATACGCATGCATGTAAAAAATAAAACGTATGACCAGTTGTTGCCAAGAGGGGGCGATCTTACGTGTAGAAATTGAGCTCAGTCAGCTCACATAAACTCGATGGGTTTTTGGTTAACAACATTAGGCTAACTGATAAACTGATGCTCATATGCTTCTTTGTTTATCGTTTGTGCTGCCGCAGCCGCTCACTAATGTATTTCAGATTAGGTTGCAGAGTGTTTTTGCAGAGTGCACACATCCTTTACACCTATTGTAGTAACTGATAGCACCGCATTATTGTTTTATCGGGGGATAATGCATAATCTAACTAACACAAACGTCATTCGTCTTGTTACTGGACGTCGTGCTGATCGTTTGCACTTGCTGAATAATTTACCTTCGCTGCTGCAGTCTCATACACCTGCACGGCTATAAATGTTCACCGCCATGTTTTCATCTCATTTGAACTGGATGGATCATCACCCAATAGTTCAATAGAAGAAGCATAGCAGGGATAATTAGAGGTCCAGTTTCTAAATGTTCTTCAATGACCGAGCTTTGTTTCAGGAGTTGTTGTGCGCCTCATTGTGCTTTTTTTTTATTGTAGCTTCAATACCTTAAATGTCATAAATAATACATTGCAGTCAAAATAATCACTGAAAAACTCGCTTGTGAACTCGATTGGACAAACCGAAATCATTGAGCCAATTCATTATTTTCGGTCATTGTCCTTTATGTGTGAATGTAAGCGTTCAAAAGTCTGTGGTGGTCGGTAAGCTTTTTGATGTTTTTGAAATAAATCTCTCTATGCTCACGAAGACTGCATTTTTTAAAGCAAAAATACAGTAAAATTATGAAATATATTGCAATCATAATTTAAAAACAACGGTTTTCTATTTAATATATTTAAAAATGTAGGCTAATTTATTCCTGTGATGTAAAGCTGAATTTTCAGCATTATTACTCCAGTCTTGAGTGTCCTTCAGAAATCATTCTGGTAACACTTTACAATAAGGTTCATTAGTTAACAATAATACCTTATGCTAACACGAACTAAGAATGAACAATACTTCTTCAGCATTTATTAATCTTAGTTAATACAAATTTCACCATTTACTAACGTCATTAAAATCAAAGTTTGTATTTGTTAACATTAGTTAATGCACTGTGAACAAACAATGAACAGCTGTATTTGTATTAACTAACATTAACAAAGATTAATAAATACTGTAACAAATGGATTGGTCATTGTTAGTTGTAAATACATTAACTATTGCTAACTAATGAACCTTATTGTAGTGTTACCATCATTATAGGCTGGTTTCCTGCTCAAGAAGCATTTCTTATGTTGAAAACAGTTGTGCTGCTGTGTAAATGAACAATATAAACTCATTACTATAATATTATGACAATTTAATAGAAATTATTTGCAGTCAAGATAGGAACCCATATTGGTTTGGTGACGTTTGATCTATATCTTACACACTTTGCTATAAAAGCTGTATTGTCAGTAAACTATATTCACAAAGTATTTACTCTATTATTTTTTAGTTTCTGTTTCTGCACTCAGACTTTCAAAGTCTTGCTTTTCAATGAATACTTAAGCGTGCCACATTTCTTTCCTAGAGTGCTCTTGTTTTAGCCTCTGATAGTCTGTTAGGAGGTTTGATAATGAAAGACACAGAGGAGGAGTGAGCTAACAATGCAGTTGTTGTCTTGGCATGAATTATTGAGCCGTGTGTCGTTGCTAGGATTGTATCAGCGATGCTGGCTGGCAATGCTGCCTTCTCAGACGTGACAGCTGCGGCCAAACGGTGTTGGGTTCTCCCTCTACCTGTATTGATTTGCCTTTGGGGATATTTAGTTAATTAAAAAGCGCCATATTAACTGGGGATCCACCTCCACACCCAATGCAATGACCAACCCTTCCTCAATTGAAAGACAGGGACAGACACCATTCACACCATATACACAAGCAGGAGTGGAGACAGTGAGACAGCAGAGAAAAAATGACTTAAAGAACAAGAAAGTGAATGGAGCAATAAATACAGAGAGGAACGTTCCACACAGGATCAGGCTTTGGGCCTCAGATTTGGTTTCCTTGTGCAAATGATGCCCTAGAGGAGCCTGAGACGTTTGTGTGTTTCAGGACGTAGTGCAGACAACTTGGACTCCTGTTTTTGTCTCTACAATTATTTTTTTTCCTGTTGTCGGACCGGAAAGGAAACTTTTTTGTGTGTGTGTGTGTGATATCCTGGGTCTCTGGACGGCTGGTTTTATGCTCACACACCTGCTGAGGAAGTGAGGGTGTGGATGTGTGCGCGGTATATCAAGACGTTCTCGGTCTGGAGTTTTGCCATTTGCATGGATTAGAGTTTGATCTCGTTAGGATGTACAAGCGTCGGGATTACGTCGAACTCTACGAGAAGGATCAGGCAAAGTGGGCCTTAGTACGAAATGTCAACACTGTGTTCAAACACAGCACCCTATTACCGGTATGTGTGGAGAGTTGCCAGTTACGTGCAAATGCTTACCATTCATTTAATGGTGTCTTGTTGGAATTATATTTTGGTGGATTTACATTTGAATTCAGTTTGATTTTGATCTAACCCTAAGTAGTAAAGTGCGTTCAGTGTGTGCATGATGTCCTGCATGATTTGTCAAAAAATGCGCCTTGTTGAATTATACTTAAGTTCCTCTATTTCAAGTTGCTTTGGATAAAAGCATCTGATGAATGCATACATAAATGTTGTTGAGGAGCTGGTTCTTTACTAAGTGATCAGACTTGCAGTTTTGCAGCACTTTCTGAGTTACATCATTCACTGATGATGTCACTGAGTCTCAGTCTTCGGTTTTTGAATGAAGTGATGATGTCAGACTAATGTCATTTACAAATAATAAACTGTGATGCAGGGTTATTAACTGAAACTAAAACCATAAAATAAACATAAACTGTAAAATATAAAAAACGTAAACTTATTTTGCCACGGCAACATTTCTCCTTTAAATTTAGTTTGACTTGAAGTACTAAAATGACTAAAGCTGAAATAAAAAATAATAAAAATATATTTAGACTACTAAAAATTACAAAAACACAACAAAATTACTAAAATGTTAACTAAATAAAATAAAATGTATTCAAAATATTAATTAAAACTATAGGATCTCAATCAAATCTAAAATAACACTTCTCTGATGCTTGATGTTGTGAAATGTGTTTCAGGGCGACTATGTCTGGCTGGACCTCAAGACAGGCCGGGAATTTGAGGTCCCGATCGGAGCCGTGGTGAAGCTCTGTGATTCTGGTCAGATCCAAGTCTTGGATGATGAAGGAAATGTAAGTTATTGATCATCTGTTGGGCTGAAAAGCTGCTCTTCTTCTGGCTGATCTATATGATTTGTTGCATTACATACCTGTGTGTTTAATTTCATATAAAGAAGACTAGACATGTGACTTTGGAACTAATAATTATTCTGAAGTTCTTTGGTGTGGTTTTTTTTGTGTTTTCTTTTCCATTGAATCTATGGATCTGCATTCTTTTCAGGAACACTGGATCTCTCCCCAAAATGCCACCAACATCAAGCCGATGCACCCCACCTCCATCCACGGGGTGGAGGACATGATTCGACTGGGGGATCTGAATGAGGCGGGGATCCTCCGGAACCTTCTCATCCGCTACAGAGAACATCTCATCTATGTAAGTCCTGCTGTCCATTCAAAGACTTTGAAGGTCTATGTTTTGTTGCGTAAGCATACAACTAATGCAAAACTCCAGATCAGATGTGGAGGTCCAGTTTTGTGATTAATGGAAAGTATGTTTTGAATAGGTTTCTATTTTGAAGGTTTTAGATTAGTTAATAAATGTATAAATGTAAATGACCTGAATAAAATTATTATTTTATTAATAAAAGAAAGTGAATTAAAGAAAAAATTAATGATGCATGTCCTCTAATTTAATCAGTTACTCGTGTATATATATACACTATTGGGACACCCCTCCAAAACATTGAATTCAGATGTTCCAATCACTTCCATGGCCACAGTTGTATAAAATCAAGCACCTAGGCATGCATACAGCTTCTACAAACATTTGTGAAAGAATAGGTCGCTCTCGGGAGCTCAGTGAATACAAGCGTGGTACCGTGATAGATTTCCACCTGTGCAATAAGTCCGTTCGTGAAATTTTCCTAACTACTAAATATTCCACAGTCAACTGTTATTATATCAACTTTGTATTATAACAAAGTGGAAGCAATTGGGAACAACAGCAACTCAGTCACGAAGTGGTAGGCCACGTAAAATCACAGAGCGGGGTCAGTGCTGAGGCGGGTGCGCAGAAGTCGCCAACTTTCTGCAGAGTCAATAGCTACAGACCTCCAAACTGAACTCAAGAACAGCTAGAAGAGCTTCATGGAATGGGTTTCCATGGCCGAGCAGCTGCATCCAAGCCTTACATCACCAAGTGCAATGCAAAGCATTGGATGCAGCGGTGTAAAGCACGCCGCCACTGGACTCTAGAGCAGTGGAGACATGTTCTCTAGAGTTACCAATCACGCTTCTCTGTCTGGCAATCCGATGGACGAATCTGGGTTCGGCGGTTGCCAGGAGAACGGTACTTGCCTGACTGCATTGTGGCAAGTGTAAAGTTTGGTGGAGGGGGGATCATGGTGTGGGGTTGTTTTTCAGGGGTTGGACTTGGACCCTTAGTTCCAGTGAAAGGAACTCTTAATGCTTCAGCATACCAAGACATTTTGGACACTTTCATGCTTCCAACTTTGTGAGAACAGTTTGGGGATGGCCCCTTCCAGAATAGTTAAAGCTGTTATAGCTGCAAAGGGAGGGCCAACTCCATATTAAACCCTATGGATTAAGAATGGGATGTCATTAAAGTTCATCTTCATGTAAAGGCAGACGTCCCAAAACGTTTGGCGATATAGTGTATATATATATATACTTTTTAAATTACAGCAGAAAAAAACACTTGCAGGCTGGCCAACCAGGTAAACCAGCAGAACACCATCTTGCGTCACCAGTGTGCCAGTGAGACTAGTTTAAACCAATCTATGTGTACTCTATATATATATATAAAATAATTGATAATGGGATATTTCAGTTATTCATTGTGAAAGATTTGCTGCCCTATTCTATGACTTAAATTAATAAAAAAATAATTATCCAGGTCCACTAATTTGATAAGTTACTCAATACCAAATGAATAAATACATTTCAAATATATTTTACACAACTATTGTCAAAAAAATATATATAATTGGAATAAATAATGTGGTATTTCTGTTTCATTATGGTCATCGCAAAGACAAAAACAGTTTGTTGCCCTGTTCCATTCATTAAATCCATAAGAGCCTTTATCTACCCTGTTTTTAATAACTCCCCTTTAATAACTCCCCTCAGTTATTTGCTTTGGTTATATTCTCTTCTCTTCTCTTTCTCTATATGAAGACTAACTGTGGTGGTCGGGTGAGTACGCAGACATCATTTTCACACGCATGGCTGCTCGCTGTTCATTGCCTCACTCTGAGTGAGTGTGTTTTCATTACGATTCTCCATTTCAACATGGCTCTGACGTCTGCGGTAACAGGACATTGATACATCCCACTGTAACAGCACCCTCCGAAAAGCAAGATGCCCGTGCACTCTCCTCTCATTGTCATATTCACTCGCTCTGCCTCGTAACCAAAATGACTGTCTGTCTTGTGCCGTAACATGACTGTTGATATCTGCATGTCCTCTACATGCACTAACCTGTCAATATTGCATAAAAGTAAAGAAAAACAAGTGGTTTATTTTTACCTCATATAATTATTCTGCAGTGTTGTAATGTCAAGAATTACATTCCTAAGAGGATATTTATTATTTTTTACGTCGTTTGGTCCATTAAAGAATAAAGAAACAAACATTTCCACTCAAGTTCCTCTGCTTCAGCTCTATTTCTGTATCCTTCGTAGACGTATACCGGGTCCATCTTAGTGGCTGTAAACCCGTATCAGCTGCTGCCCATCTATACGGCAGACCAGATTCGACTCTACACCAATAAGAAGATCGGAGAGATGCCTCCACACATCTTTGCCATCGCTGATAACTGTTACTTCAACATGCAACGCAACAACAAAGACCAGTGTTGTATCATAAGGTGCGCAAACCTGTAAGACTCTGTTAGCAATGCTTGGTGTGAGTGCTTCCATTAAAGCTTGATGGGGAAGACTTATGTCTGCCTATCTATTATTTAGGAACTGGATATCTTCAGGTTAACCCAAACCCTTTTCTTGAGCCTAACCCTATTACCCTAAGCCTTACCTTACCTGACCTAAAGGCCAATCCTGATCCCGACCCACACATTACCCAGGTCATTTTATACCTAACGCCAACTTTGATCTCACTTCTACCAGTTTAAAGTACAGGACAATATTTTTGATGCCGTTGACAGTGCTACTATGGAAGCTTGTTTCCGCCACAGAATAAAACATTTTAAAAGATAATTGCGACTTTTTATCTCACAATTGCAATTGAGATATAAACATGCAATTCTGAGAAAAAGTCAGAATTGCAAGTTTATTTCTTGCAATTGCGAGTTTATATCTCACAATTCTGACTTTATAACACACAATTGAGACTTTATATCACGCAATTCTGACTTTATAACACAATGCAACTTTATATCATGCAATTCTGACTTTATATCTCGCAATTGCGACTTTATATCACGCAATTCTGAGATACAAAGTCAGAATTGTGAGATAAAAAGTCAGAATTGTGAGATAAAAAGTCGCAATTACCTTTTTTATTTTTTTATTCTGTGATGGAAACAAGCTTCCATATACTCTAGTCCCAAATGTGGGACTTATCTCAAATATCTACTCCTAACCTTGGTAGCAGAAAGTGCATATCAGTTTCCCAGAACAAGGTTTACCATCTAGACTCTAGAGTCTAGACACAACCCAACCATAAAGGGGAATAGTTCACCCAAAAATGTATATTATGTCATCATTTACTGACCCTCAAAATGTTTCAAACCTGTATGAATTTCTTTCTTCTGCTGAACACAAAAGAAGATATTTTGAAGAATGTCGGTAAACAAACAGTTAATGGACCCCATTGACTTCCATAGTATTTTTTTTTCCCCCAATACTTTTCCCAAGTCAAATGTTCTTCAATCTAAAACATTGTTCTGTTGAGAAGAGAAGTGTTGACTGAAAGATCCTTTGGGGAACTATAAATGTTTAAATGGCATCGCTGCAAAAACCCTGTTTGGAACCTTTATTTTTAAGACTGTATGTCTATATTTTCCCATCAGTGGTGAGTCTGGAGCAGGAAAAACAGAAAGTACCAAGTTGATTCTACAGTTTTTGGCTGCTATCAGTGGGCAGCACTCCTGGATTGAGCAGCAGGTGCTGGAGGCGAATCCCATCTTAGAAGGTAAGAGAACCGGGGCCATCTTGAGGGCTCTGAGCTCTTAGAAACCACATTTCTGTCAGAAACAAGCAAATTACATTCTGGTTTGTTTAATGACTTTAACCAACAGCCTTTGGGAATGCTAAAACCGTCCGTAATGACAACTCCAGCCGTTTTGGGAAGTACATCGACATTCACTTCAACAAAAGAGGAGCTATAGAGGGAGCAAAGATTGAACAGTACCTTCTGGAGAAATCCAGAGTGTGTCGACAGGTATGAACAAGTTTGAATCCGAATTCTTTGGCTAATATATTACTGTTTAAAAGTTGTTGTTTTTTATGTATTTGAAAAAAGTCTCTTATGCTCGCCAAGGCTGTTTATTTGATTAAAAATACAGTAAAATTGTGAAATATTATTTTTAAATAACTGTTTTCTATTTGAATATATTTTTAAAGTGGAGTTTATTCCTATGATGGCAAAGTTGAATTTTCAGCAGCAGAAATTATTCTAATGCTAATTTGCTGCTCAAGAAACATTTCTTATTATTATCAATGTTGAAAAGAGTAATGCAGCTTCATATTTTTGTGGAAAACATGATATATTTTTTCTCAGCATTATCTGATGAATTTAAAGTTCAAAAGAGCAGTTTTTATTTGAAATAGAGATATTTTGTAACATTATAAATGCCAATTGAACGTCATTGATAAATACGACTTCAAACTTTTGAACAGTAGTGTATGACATTTCAAAACATTGCATTTTGGTTTCAGAAAGGTTATGTTGGAGTACACATTTCTAGAAAAACATAGCCAAAGTAGTCTAGACTTCTGGTTTTAGAGGGATATACACACATATATATATATTTCATTTATTGATCCTTATGCGACTTTCTAGGGTCATAGGTCATACTTGCCTGTTAGGTTTTCTCAAAACATCATTATAATTATAATTATAAACATTCTATTTTTACGATTAAAATGAAATCAGTTCAAATGGCAACATTTGTGAAACTTTTTAAGTTCTATAAGTAGCATCTTTTCTCCCACTCTTGCAGGCCCGTGATGAGAGAAACTACCACATTTTCTACTGTATGTTAAAGGGAATGACTCCAGACCAGAAGAAGAAACTAGGCTTGGGTAAAGCCGCAGACTACACCTACCTTACCATTGTGAGTGATGATCTTCACTGTTCTTTAATGCTTTAATGTTCTTGCTGTGCAGAATACATGTTGACAATGTACTTCAGATATACAGATGATATAACCTTGACCTGTCATAACTCAGGGAAGCTGCACTGTTTGTGATGGTCGTGATGATCAGAAGGAATACTCAAACATCCGTTCGGCCATGAAGGTCCTCATGTTCACAGAAAAGGAGAACTGGGAGATTTCCAAGCTGCTAGCCGCTATTCTGCACATGGGCAACCTGAACTACGAGGGTGAGTTTGCTTGGACAGATGTGTCTAATAAACTCATTTTGGCCATCACTTTCAGTTCAAAATAACCTGAAATTTTGTATTTAACAACTTATGGTGTTGTAAACTTCCTCCTCAGCTCGCACGTATGATAATTTGGATGCCTGTGAGGTGGTGCGTTGCTCAAATCTCACCACTGCTGCTTTTTTATTAGAGGTATGACACTAAATCATAAGTCATGACATGGCTGCTGTTATGGTGATTTAGATGCATTTTAATAAATAAATAAATCAGTCTTTGTGGTATCTGACATTTGTATGGAAGCTTGTTTCCGCCACTGAATAAAAAAAATAATTGCGACTTTTTATCTCACAATTGCGAGATATGAAGTCAGAATTGTGAGAAATAAAGTCGCAATTGCGAGATATAAAGTCGCAATTCTGAGAAATAAAGTCGCAATTGCGAGATATAAAGTCGCAATTATGAGAAACAAAGTCGCAATTGCGAGAAAAAAAGACAGAATTGCGACTTTTTATCTCATAATTCTGACTTTTTTTCTCACAATTGCGAGTTTACATCTCGCAATTCTGACTTTATAACACATAATTGCGAGTTTATATCTCGAAATTCTGACATCTTTTCTCAGAATTGTGCAATTGCGAGTTATCAGGCCAATTCTAAGGGGGGAAAAAAGACTAACCTTTTTCCCCTCAGAATAGTTTATATCTCACAATTCTGACTTTACAACACGCAATTTCGACTTTATATCACGCAATTCTGACTTTATAACACGCAATTCCGACTTTATATCAATCAATTCTGACTTTATAACACGCAATTGCGATTTTATGTCACGCAATTCTGACTTTATATCAATCAATTCCGACTTTATATCAATCAATTCTGACTTTATAACACGCAATTGCGATTTTATGTCACGCAATTCTGACTTTATATCTCGCAATTCTGAGAAATAAAGTCAGAATTGCGAGATGTAAACTCGCAATTGTGAGAAAAAAAGTCCGAATTGTGAGATAAAAAGTCGCAATTACCTTTTTTATTTTTCATTCTGTGGCGGAAACAAGCTTCCATACATTTGACTGTTCTGGTTACTATGTATTAGCATGCTAGTACAAGAATGTGCAAGATCAGGTGTTTGTGTGCCCTCTAGTGACTAACATGGAAAGATAAAATTACTGTGATGGATTTAAGATTTCTACAGGGTGCAAAAAGTACAGAGTAAAATTAATCTTCACATGAATTCAACATTTTTCACAAAGAAATTGTATGCTTAAGTTAGAAAATGACTTTTTGACAGCTGAAATTCCTGTATTATTGTATGTTTTCACAGGTGGACATGAAGGACCTGATGAATTGCTTGACCAGTCGAACCATAATAACCCGTGGAGAGACGGTGTCCACTCCTCTCAGTATTGAGCAGGCGCTGGACGTGCGAGATGCCTTTGTTAAGGTAAAACCATCTCACATTTTCATCTACATACTTAATCCTGTTCGGTAACAGCATCTAACCAGCTGTGTGTCTCATAGGGTATATATGGACGCTTGTTTGTGTGGATTGTTGAGAAAATCAATGCAGCCATTTATAAGCCTCCATCCCTTGAGCTCAAAGTGGTGCGGAGATCCATCGGCCTGCTCGACATATTCGGCTTTGAGAACTTCACAGTTAACAGGTAGAAAATATCACACACACACTTACATTCAGCGCAAATCCTGCAAAGACCTCATTATAGTGTCCCTGTTACACATTAAAACAATTTTTTTTTTCAAATTGAGTACTTATTCACTTACTTGTACACTAATCCTAATAATCATGCATATGATGGTTCATCATGACTACTTTTTAGTCAAATTGTAATCAAAATGTTCCTTAATGCACTTTCCTGGTCTAATTTTGTAGAATTCATCAGTGCATATTATTTAAAACAGAAAAAAATTGCCTTCATAAATTCTCATTGAAATTTAAATATTTCTGAAGCTCCAACTCTAAAGCAACTTTCCTTTTCAGAGAATGTTGCCTTGACTTGACTTGTTGGCTTTGAAATGTATATTTAAAAAGAATGAATATATGAAATATTGTTAAATAGACCCGGTTTCACAGACAGAGCTTAGATTAAGCCCAAATTAGGCCTTAGTTCAAATAGTAAGTAGCTTTTATGAACGTGCCTTAGAAAAAAACATTACTGGTGTGCATTTTGAGACAAAACAATGGCACTGCATATTTTAAGATGTTCCAGTGCAAGTTGCTTTCAACTCAAACAGCTCAAACATGCATTTAAGTCTGGGACTAAGCTTAAGCCTTGTCTGTGAAACACATCGTTTTAATTAATTATTACTTGAGTTGTATGAATAAAATGAATAATAATTAATATTTTTTTTATATTTAATAAAAATTTAAATAATCAATTAATACATTTAATTATAATGAATATATCAATCATTATTGAATATATTAAATTAATAATGATATGCAAAAATAAATCATATGTAAAAATGTATAATAAATCAGTTAATATATGTATTATGTATTAATTATTAATAAATATTTTCATTTGCTTTAATAATACTTAATATATTTAACAATATTTCCAAAAACTACATTAACCAATGAATTTAATACGAATTAATATATAAATTAAAATGTAATTATTAAATGAAGAATAATTCTATTTAATAATTTATATATTTAATAATGTTTAATAAATGTAATAATATCACACCCAGCTATTGTTTAGACATCTCCTGATATTGTACAGTATCTTCGTAATGCATGTATTTGAATAGTGTGATTGGTGGCCCTCATGCAGCTGTATCTCTCCTCCAGCTTTGAGCAGTTGTGTATCAACTTTGCCAATGAAAACCTGCAGCAATTCTTCGTCCGTCATGTTTTCAAGCTGGAGCAGGAAGAATATAACCTTGAGAACATTAACTGGCAGCACATTGAGTTCACTGACAACCAGGACGCCTTGGACATGATCGCCATAAAGCCCATGAATATCATCTCTCTCATTGACGAGGAGAGCAAGTTTCCCAAGGTGAGAGAGATTGCTGACTTGTACTGTACGTCCACATACTGTATCCTGTGCTCATGCTGAACGTTTCTTTTTCATATCTCAGGGTACAGACACCACCATGCTGAACAAGCTCAACTCTCAACACAAACTCAACACCAACTACATTCCACCTAAAAACACTTATGAAACACAGTTTGGCATCCAGCACTTTGCTGGTGTGGTCTACTATGAGACCAAAGGTAGGTATTCTACTCACTTGCATAATTGTGTTTCACCTTGTGGAAAATAAAACATTGCAATCTTCAGTATACTGTATATACTTGAGCCATCAAAAAACTTCTAGAAACCACCCAGAGCATCCATGCACTCACTGACGTAGTTAATAATAGTTATGTGCATGATAATAAATGTAGTGTGTTTATGTGTCTCTGCAGGTTTTCTGGAGAAGAATCGAGACACCCTGCATGGTGACATCATTCAGCTTGTGCACTCCTCCAAAAACAAATTCATCAAGCAGATCTTTCAGGCGGATGTTGCTATGGTAACGTCCACATCTCATTTTGGTCTTTACTGTAGTCTTATAGTCTTTACTATACACTCTAGATTATTTCAACACTCCCTCGGAAGGGATGATACCACGATACAGTGATGGTATCAGATGGTAATACCATGCTAATTTGATATTGTATGATTATTATAATTATATATCATCTTTGGTACTTCAAAAAACATGCTGTTACCACAGTACTCTTTGAGCATCTTTGAATATTAAAAATATATTAGGGATGCAGAACGAGTCTGATACCGATACTGTCATTTTTGATACCTGTATTTTCACTGCATTTGTCATTTTTAAATGTATTGGTGGAGAAACCAAAAGAATATAAATCATATTAGTCGGCTAACTTATTTGGCTAACTTAGTTGGCTTAGAAGTTATTTTCATGCTTAATAAAGCCTTCTGTTACTTTCACTGGTCATATTGCTCTATCATATTTTATCTTTCATTTAATAGTAGCCTACAGCATGTATTTAGAGCTGCTCCAGCAGTGCTCAGTGCTACGGATTGGGTCAGTGGTACAAATGTTTAGACACAAGTCAAATATCAATTATTTAATATATGTTTTAATATTGCGGTCGGATGGACTAGTTCCCATACATGCTTCCCTCTTTCTTTCTGTGTTTGTGAAATGTGGTGCCAGTTTTTGTGTGGTTATGTGTCTGCTGACAGTCTTGGCAAAGCAGGTTCACTCCATAAGGTAAAATCGTGGTATGCGACTAGTAGTTTACACTAACTAATACATAGTTTATGCTGTTAACAGTAGAGACACTGCACCTGCTTCCAGTGTTTCTGCTAATATGACATGTGAATGAGAATTACTAGCGCTTGTCCATTAAATTGGTTACAAATAAATGAAGTAAAAATCGATTTAAAATTCAGAAATCATTCTAATATGCTGATTCGCTGCTCAGGAAACATTTCTTATTATTATCAACGTTGAAAACAGTTGTGCTGCTTCATATTTTTCTGGAAACTGTGATACAATTTTTTTGAGGAATAAAAAAGTTCAAAAGAACAATCTTTTGTAACATTATAAATGTATTCACTGTTACTTTTGATCAATAAAGTTTTGATCAAGTACACAGACTTGAAGAACTCTACTCACTCTTTTCAGCAACTGCCTCATGCTGCATCCAAAATCGCATACTGTGTAGTAAGTACTACATTTGTTTTTAAAACTTACTTCGCGACCGTTAAAAAAATAAGTTCTTTATAGTATGAATGTGTGTAGTATGAATAAAATTCGGACGTACTACATCCTCCATGTTGTCATTGTCATGTGACCTCGCTTCACTTCCGTTCATAAATCCCCTCCTGGGATAGTAAAGTGTCCACCGTATGCACACTTAAGAATTTTGCTGGAAATAGTAGGTCATCCGGGTACTTTTGGCCTACTGTTTTATGAATACTATGAATTCGGACATACTACTTGGCTCACATACTGTTTTTCGCCTATTATATAGTTTGGAAGTAGGCATATTTGGATGTAGCATCAGTCTTTTCTTAGCAACTGCATAACAATCATCAGAACACTTTGATAACCACATAGCAACTTCCTGGCTAACACCCACAACAACCTAGCATGGGAGCAGGTTGGCACAGAGAAACACCACTAGAAGTGTCTAGCTATATGAGCCTAAAATGTCATTGACTTTTTTTAAGACACAACCCAGTTTGAGCTTTAACCCTTTCCACCTTTATTTGTTCTCCTAAGTAGACAGAAATAATATGACCTGCATCTGTCTAGAAAATACAGTATATCTGTCCAACACAGTTCCTGAGGTGAGACCATTTCCCGTTTCCCGTTTAAGGATGAAAGAGCTCTGAACGGAGAAAAACAAAGGCAAATATTTAAAATCAAAATGAACCCAGTCATTTCTTGACAGGTTTACCCTAAAAACAGTCCTGACCTCTGCTGCTCACCACTCTTCCTGGCCTTCTTTTTAAAGTGTGTGTGTGTGTGTGTGTGTGTGTTTCCTGATCACAGGGGGCGGAGACCAGAAAACGTTCCCCGACTCTGAGCAGTCAATTCAAGCGCTCTCTTGAGCTGTTGATGCGCACGTTGAGTGTGTGTCAGCCGTTCTTCGTCCGCTGCATCAAACCCAATGAGTTCAAGAAACCCATGGTGAGTTAAACCAGCATTACTTTAGAGCTACTGTAGAATGCTAAATCATAACTAGTTACACTTTACAATAGGGTTTCATTTGTTACCTTTATTTAATGCAATAGCTAACATGAACTAACTATGATCAATATATTTTACAGCATTTGCTAACGTTTGTTATTGTTAGTTTATAAAAACAATACAATTGTTCATTGTTTGTTAATCTGAGTTCATTAACGTATGTTAACTGGTACAACTTTTGATTTTAAAAATGTATTAGGGAATGTAGAAATGAACATTGACTGAGAATAAAAAATGCTGTAGAAGTAATGTTCATTGTTAGTTCATGTTAGCTAATGTAATGTAGGAATGTTGACAAATGAAACCTTACTGTAATGTGTTAACCCATAACTTAACTGATGATATTGGAGAATAAAAAATACGGATGTCAACAATAATATATTGGAATGTTTTTCAATTTCTAAAGGGACTCTTTTATTGAATGTTATTTAAGGATAATATCTTTTGTATATTTATTTATTGCTGATTGATTTGCTATTTGTCTTACTGTTTAACTGTTTGGAAATACATTATAATAAGTTTAAACATAGCAGAATTTGTGGTATATTAAGTGTCTTGTATTTCCAACTCCAACTTTGAAGAGATTTTTATGAGATAATCTCTCCATCTTTCTCCAGCTCTTTGATCTTGAGCTGTGCGTGAGGCAGCTCCGGTATTCTGGGATGATGGAAACCATCCGGATTCGCCGGGCCGGATACCCCATCCGCTACACTTTCGTCGAGTTTGTGGACAGATACCGCGTTTTGATGCCCGGAGTGAAACCTGCTTACAAACAGGTGAGTTAATGAATTCAGTGTCTCTAGAATAGGGAAATGCAGTGTGCTTCAACTAGTCTTTGTGTAACACATGTTTTTGACCTTAATATCATTTTATTTCGTTCTAATAAAGGCCTTGTGTTGGTTAATGGAAAGTGGGCATAACATTTTTAAAATTTTACTGTTCTCAAACAAAAAGGTCATTCATTTTTTAATCTTGTAAAAACAAAAAAGTAATGACCCTAACATAATATTTTACACTTTCTTTTAAGTTTAAGTCCTACTATAAATTAAATGCATTAATAATGAATGTGCCATTTTTTTTTCAATACTGCAGTGTGATGCCTATATATATATGTATACACACACAAACACTACTGTGTCTAAATTCTAAAATATAAATATATAAATTTATCTTGGTGTTCACCAAAACAGTTCGTCATCTACTCTCATATTATAATGCTTTCTTGACCATTTTTGGTCATTTTTTCCTTTAGGAGGACCTTAGAGGAACCTGTCAGCGTATCGCTGAAGCCATATTGGGCCGTGATGATGATTGGCAGATGGGAAAAACAAAGATATTCCTGAAGGTACTTAAATCTTATTATAATAAAATATCTTATTATAGAAGTACCAACTACTTATAACAATAAGACACCATTTGTGAAATGCTCTTCACAATCAATAACAGAAGGCAATATTTAAATAATAATTAAAAAATATGATTCTTTACTTAGGTCATGGAAAAATAAGCTCATCGTTGTTGCTGTTAAAAAAACATGTCAGGGGATTTTAGGCAGTCGTGTCAAACGTAGACAGTATTGACCTCAATATTCGTGTGTGTTTTTCTGCTGCCGGAAACGCTGCCCTCAGCCAGAGGTCAAAGATCAGGAACTAGCTTGTCCATTACTAAACTGCCAGGATGAGTTTTCCAGGGATTAGGTTTTATCACACCTTCCAGTTCTCTAAAACAGGAAATCCCACTCAGCAGGAAGGAAGAGAGGGCAGTGTCAATACACGTTGACAGGAAGTAACGACACCAGCAGGATCAGCACAGATACAGATCAATATGAGCCTTATTAATTGATCTGGTGATCAATGGAACATCACAGTTGTGTGTTTAAGTTTATAGTTAGTTATTGTGTCCTTTAAATACTTCTCTACCTTTGTCAGGACCACCATGACATGCTGCTGGAAATCGAGAGAGACAAGGCCATAACTGATAAGGTCATCCTCATTCAGAAAGTTGTCAGAGGATTCAAGGACAGGTACGAATGACTGCTGATGTTTAGTTTGTGTTGCAAGAACTCTGGGGGAAAATGCTAAAAATGAATTACACCCACTGTTTATTTGCATTTGTGGTCTGTGTTGTTTGATACACTTATGCAAATCAGATAACAGCCCAAACACACCACAGAAACATCATCTGGTCATCATTTGATGAATTCCTGCTGCCTTGATTGCTATAAAATGTGACAAATACATACCTTTAAATAAAAATACACTGTAATTTATGCACTGTACTGGTCATCTAGCAGTTTCATCATTGGTAGAATATACATTGGTGTAAACTATTTCAATACAAGCATTTCAGTCAAAAAATAAATAAATGTATGCAGAATGTCAAACCTTTAAAAATGCAACCCACAGAAACAGTTTAAATGTAGCCAATCTTTCAGTCAATGATGTTGACCCTTTTTGCAGGTGGTTTGCGATTTAGACATGTTTTTGTGCTGAAATGTGCTTCAAACACAATAAAAAACATTGTCATCTTTCCCACAGATCCAACTTCTTAAAGTTGAAGAAGTCCGCCATGTTGATCCAGAAAACATGGAGGGGTTATAACTGCCGGAAGAACTACTCAGCGGTTGGTCTCAAACATTCTCATATACTGTACAACTATAATGTGCAATTGTTGCCCTCCAGTATCATAACACTCATTTCCTGTCTCGTAGATGCGCGGTGGTTTCTCACGTCTGCAGGCATTGTATCGATCTCGCAAACTCTACCAGACGTACCATGTTACGCGACAGAGAATGATCCTTTTTGAGGGCCGCTGCAGAGGATACCTGGTGCGCCGGGCGTTTCGACACCGTCTTTGGGCCGTCATCACCATCCAGGCGTATACGAGGGGAATGATCGCCCGCCGACTCTACAAAAGACTCAAAGGAGAGGTGAGTACGACCGGATTTATTTGTAGATAACGATGTACGGTTTTACGATATAGAAAACGCATCACTCTGTTTTTCCATCCATCTCAGTACCGGCGGCGTTTGGAAGCGGAGAAGATGCGATTGGCTGAGGAGCAGAAGTTTAGGAACCAGATGAGTGCCAGGAAGGCCAAAGAAGAAGCCGAAAAGAAGCATCAGGAAAGATTGGCACTGCTGGCGCGAGAGGATGCCGAGCGCGAGAAGAAGGATCGAGAGGAGGCGCGGAGGAAAAAGGAAATGTTGGACCAGATGGAGAAAGCACGACATGAGCCGGTCAACGACTCTGATATGGTGGACAAGATGTTTGGCTTTTTGGGAACCACAAACTCATTCCCTGGTCAGGAGGGTCAAGCGCCTGCTGGGTTTGAGGTGAGGATGTGGATCTGTGGCTTTTACAGTCTAAACTAGGTGTGTTTGACTTCATGCGGCACTGGGTCTACTTGAAGCAGTGCATGCCAGTTGGTCATTTTGTTCGCCATCACAGTACCTCGGGAGCAGTTGGCTGGCACATTCTTCGCACACTGCAGAAGTTTCATTTCTTATTCAGTATTTTTGTCTTGTTTTTCAGTTCAAATATCTAAACATTCTTAAATCAAGGTACATTTATTTGAGAAGCCAATAAGATAAGATTGAAATAAAATATTAAGGATCGTTTTCTGGAAAATGTATCAAAATTAAGCGAGTTTTTGCATAAAACAAGAAGTTTATTTTTTTTCTCCTCTTTGGCTGATATTTTTCCACTGGTGCTCATAAATCCATATTTTTATAATTTTGTAATATTAATGTGGTAACACTTTACAATAAGATTTCATTAGTTAACATGAACTAATAATGAACTGCATTTTAACAGCATTTATTCATCTTTGTTAATGTTAATTTCAAAATTTTCTAATACATTATTACAATCAAAAGTTGTATTTATTAACATTAGTTAATGCACTGTGAGCTAACATGACCAACTGTATTTTTATTAACTCGTTAACAAAGATTAAAAAACAGTAACAAATGTATTGCTGATTGTTAGTTCATGTTAGTTAATACATTTACTAATGTTAAATGAAACCTTATTGTAAAGTTAATGTTATTTTATGCCATGTTTATCAAAATAAATGCGATAAGAAGTATAGACTCCCCTTTATTGGTATTTAAATAGCATATAGGCTTATGTTCAACTTTATTCGGTAACACTTTGCAATAAGGTTCATTAGTTAACATTAGTTAACAACATTAGTTAGCATGTACTAATAATGAACTGCAATTATACAGCATTTATTAATCTTTGTTCATGTTAATTTAAACATTTACTAATACTTTATTAAAATCTTGTTAACATTAGTCAATGCACTGTGAACTAACATGAACAAACAATAAACAGCTGTATTTTTATTAAATAATGTTATTAAAAATTAATAAATACAGTAACAAATGTATTGCTCATGGTTAGTTCATGTTAGTTAATACATTAACTAATGTTAACTAATGAGCCTTATTGTAAAGTGTTACCCTTTATTCTTGTATATGCAGGTGCTGTATACTGAGCAGTACATAAAGTATTAAATGAAAAGTGTTTACATGAAAACACCTGAAACATCTGTGTATTTGACAAATATTGCAGCTAATCTACTTAATCTGCAATAAATTAGGCAAACACCATGCCAGCATCCCTACGGGAACCAGAAAGTGTCCACAACTTCACGTCTCCGTTTTCATCTCCTCCCCGACTGCTAGCAGCAAATCTCTCCGATTGGTTAAATCCAGCCGTAGCCCATCACACCTTTTGTTTCCAGAGACACAAGCTGAACTAATTAACCAGCTGATTAACTGATCCCTCACCTCATTAATGAGTTGATTAACTAAGCTCCGGTGTAATTGTGTTTTCCTCAGGACCTGGAGCGAACGCACAGGGAGCTTGAGGAAGAAGACCTGGATGAAGCTCTTCCTCTCCCAGAGGATGATGTGGAAGACTTGTCGGAGTACAAATTTGCCAAGTACTCTGCCACATATTTCCAGGGTACGACCACTCACACTTACGTGCGCCGCCCGCTTAAACAGCCGTTACTGTTTCACGAGGACGAAGGAGATCAGCTGGTATGTGACCTTTGACTAATGACCCTCAAACGCACTTTAGATGTTAGAAAGTTGTCTAATGTTGCCTATGTAATGATGCTGTCTTCTAAGATACCTGCATTTTTAAAGGAAACATTGAATTGCATGTATCCTTCACATAGGATTGATCTATCTGTCTGTCTGTCTATCTATTCAATATTTGTATATACTATACATGTACACTACCGTTCAAAAGTTTGGGGTCGGTACGATTTTAAATACTTTTAAAAGAATTCTCTTCTGCTAACCATGGCTGCGCTTATTTGATTAAAAATACAACAAAAATCGGTTATAGTATTAAATATTATTCCAGTGTAAATCAGCTGTTTTCTGTGTGAATATATAGTAAAGTGTAATTTATTCCTGTGATCAAAGCTGAATTTTCAGCATCACCAGTGTCAGTGTCTTCAGTGTCAAATGATCATTCACAAATCAGTATAATATGAGGATTTGATGCTCAAGAAACATTTATTATTATTATCAATGTTGAAACAGTTGTTGGTCTGTCAGTTGTACAGTTTTTTTTTTTAGGATTCTTTGATGAATAGGAAGTTCAAAAGAACAGCATTTGTTTGAAATAGAATCTTTTGTAACATTATAAATGTCTTTACTGTCCTTGATAAATAAAAGTATTGATTTCTTTCCTCCAAAAAATAAAAATAAAATTCTCACTGACCCCAAACTTTTGAACGGTAGTGTATATAAATACTATACAGGTCCTTCTCAAAAAATTAGCATATTGTGATAAAGTTCATTATTTTCCATAATGTAATGATAAAAATTAAACTTTCATATATTTTAGATTCATTGAACACCAACTGAAATATTTCAGGTCTTTTATTGTTTTAATACTGATGATTTTGGCATACAGCTCATGAAAACCCAAAATTCCTGTCTCAAAAAATTAGCATATTTCATCCGACCAATAAAAGAAGTGATTTTAATACAAAAAAAAAAGTCAACCTTCAAATAATTATGTTCAGTTATGCACTCAATAGTCAATACTTGGTCGGGAATCCTTTTGCAGAAATGACTGCTTCAATGCGGCGTGGCATGGAGGCAATCAGCCTGTGGCACTGCTGAGGTGTTATGGAGGCCCAGGATGCTTCTATAGCGGCCTTAAGCTCATCCAGAGTGTTGGGTCTTGCGTCTCTCAACTTTCTCTTCACAATATCCCACATATTCTCTATGGGGTTCAGGTCAGGAGAGTTGGCAGGCCAATTTAGCACAGTAATACCATGGTCAGTAAACCATTTACCAGTGGTTTTGGCACTTTGAGCAGGTGCCAGGTCGTGCTGAAAAATGAAATCTTCATCTCCATAAAGCTTTTCAGCAGATGGAAGCATGAAGTGCTCCAAAATCTCCTGATAGCTAGCTGCATTGACCCTGCCCTTGATAAAACACAGTGGACCAACACCAGCAGCTGACATGGCACCCCAGACCATCACTGACTGTGGGTACTTGACACTGGACTTCAGGCATTTTGGCATTTCCTTCTCCCCAGTCTTCCTCCAGACTCTGGCACCTTGATTTCCGAATGACATGCAAAACTGAGCAACAGTCCAGTGCTGCTTCTCTGTAGCCCAGGTCAGGCGCTTCTGCCGCTGTTTCTGGTTCAAAAGTGGCTTGACCTGGGGAATGCGGCACCTGTAGCCCATTTCCTGCACACGCCTGTGCATGGTGGCTCTGGATGTTTCTACTCCAGACTCAGTCCACTGCTTCCGCAGGTCCCCCAAGGTCTGGAATCGGTCCTTCTCCACAATCTTCCTCAGGGTCCGGTCACCTCTTCTCATTGTGCAGCGTTTTTTGCCACACTTTTTCCTTCCCACAGACTTCCCATTGAGGTGCCTTGATACAGCACTCTGGGAACAGCCTATTTGTTCAGACATTTCTTTCTGTCTCACCCTCTTGCTTGAGGGTGTCAATGATGGCCTTCTGGACAGCAGTCAGGTCGGCAGTCTGACGCCCGTTTCACACATACTCCGTTTGCAGTGCGTATGCGGTGCGTATTTTTTTCCGTACCCATGTTAACAGGTTAGAGCTTTCACACTGCACGCGGATGCGGTCCGTCGATCCGTTCCAGTTGCGGTGCGTATACAGCAGTGCAGAGATCGTTTCCGCACCGAGTCTATTTCTGCTGTGCTGCAAACGCTGAATTAAAGTGACAGCGCACGGTTCGTGGTCAAAATGAACACAGACTGACCTGAATATGTAGTAATTTCACCATAAATGCATTTAATTCAATAAAATGTAGTAATCTCACCATAAATGTATTTAATTAAATAAAATGTAACCATAAATGCATTTAATTAAATACTACTTTGTTCACAGTCATCTTTTTACTTTAAGACCGGGGTAAAGCAAAGAAAGCTACAATTTACTTCAACAAGGCCACATAATGAACGACACTCGTCTCATTCGTTGAGGTGGAAAAACAAGTTATTTGTGACATGCAAGATTTATTGTATACAGATTTGAATTATGCAAAAGAAAAGGTATGAGTCTGCTGTTTTTGTCAATTTTAAGTTTTAATTTAAAATGTTTGCGATTTTAATATAAGTACATGGTTAAATATGTTACCACTTGCTTGAGCAACTTAATATAGCCTATAATCTAGGCCTATATAAAAGTAATGCATTGAATAATACGTTGTTTAAATTGTGTTTTAAACGTGAATAGGCCTACAAAGAGAATTGCACTGGAGGCAAAAACTTTTGCTGCTGATAACTTGATTTGATTGATGATTTTTTGAAATACAAATAGTGAGTAAATGTGTTTGTGGTACTGCCGCGGATCAGTTGCGCACTGCAAACGCACGCAGCATATGTGAAAGCACTATAGCGCGTGCTGCTCCTGTACCGCACCGCATACGCACTGCACACGGAGTATGTGTGAAACGGGCGTTACCCATGATTGCGGTTTTGAGTAATGAAACAGGCTGGGAGTTTTTAAAAGCCTCAGGAATCTTTTGCAGGTGTTTAGAGGTAATTAGTTGATTCAGATGATTAGGTTAATAGCTCGTTTAGAGACCCTTTTCATGATATGCTAATTTTTTGAGACAGGGATTTTGGGTTTTCATGAGCTGTATGCCAAAATCATCAATATTAAAACAATAAAAAACCTGAAGTATTTCAGTTGGTGTGCAATGAATCTAAAATATATGAAAGTTTAATTTTTATCATTACATTATGGAAAATAATGAACTTTATCACAATATGCTAATTTTATGAGAAGGACCTGTATATAAAAACTTTATAGCTTTCTTAAAACGAATGTAAATGTATATTTTATATAAATATACATATTTTAATAAATATAAATGTATATAAAACTGTGAACATAATATATTTATATATACAGGTCCTTCTAAAAAAATTAGCATATTGTGATAAAGTTCATTATTTTCCATAATGTAATGATAAAAATTAAACTTTCATATATTTTAGATTCATTGCACACCAACTGAAATATTTCAGGTCTTTTATTGTTTTAATACTGATGATTTTGGCATACAGCTCATGAAAACCCAAAATTCCTGTCTCAAAAAATTAGCATATCATGAAAAGGGTCTCTAAATGAGCTATTCACCTAATCATCTGAATCAACTAATTAACTCTAAACACCTGCAAAAGATTCCTGAGGCTTTTAAAAACTCCCAGCCTGTTTCATTACTCAAAACCGCAATCATGGGTAAGACTGCCGACCTGACTGCTGTCCAGAAGGCCATCATTGACACCCTCAAGCAAGAGGGTAAGACAGAAAGAAATTTCTGAACAAATAGGCTGTTCCCAGAGTGCTGTATCAAGGCACCTCAGTGGGAAGTCTGTGGGAAGGAAAAAGTGTGGCAAAAAACGCTGCACAATGAGAAGAGGTGACCGGACCCTGAGGAAGATTGTGGAGAAGGACCGATTCCAGACCTTGGGGGACCTGCGGAAGCAGTGGACTGAGTCTGGAGTAGAAACATCCAGAGCCACCGTGCACAGGCGTGTGCAGGAAATGGGCTACAGGTGCCGCATTCCCCAGGTCAAGCCTCTTTTGAACCAGAAACAGTGGCAGAAGCGCCTGACCTGGGCTACAGAGAAGCAGCACTGGACTGTTGCTCAGTTTTGCATGTCATTCGGAAATCAAGGTGCCAGAGTCTGGAGGAAGACAGGGGAGAAGGAAATGCCAAAATGCCTGAAGTCCAGTGTCAAGTACCCACAGTCAGTGATGGTCTGGGGTGCCATGTCAGCTGCTGGTGTTGGTCCACTGTGTTTTATCAAGGGCAAGGTCAATGCAGCTAGCTATCAGAAGATTTTGGAGCACTTCATGCTTCCATCTGCTGAAAAGCTTTATGGAGATGAAGATTTCATTTTTCAGCACGACCTGGCACCTGCTCAAAGTGCCAAAACCACTGGTTAATGGTTTACTGACCATGGTATTACTGTGCTCAATTGGCCTGCCAACTCTCCTGACCTGAACCCCATAGAGAATCTGTGGGATATTGTGAAGAGAAAGTTGAGAGACGCAAGACCCAACACTCTGGATGAGCTTAAGGCCGCTATCGAAGCATCCTGGGCCTCCATAACACCTCAGCAGTGCCACAGGCTGATTGCCTCCATGCCACGCCACATTGAAGCAGTCATTTCTGCAAAAGGATTCCCGACCAAGTATTGACTATTGAGTGCCTAACTGAACATAATTATTTGAAGGTTGACTTTTTTTTTTGTATTAAAAACACTTCTTTTATTGGTCGGATGAAATATGGTAATTTTTTGAGACAGGAATTTTGGGTTTTCATGAGCTGTATGCCAAAATCATCAGTATTAAAACAATAAAAGACCTGAAATTAGGGATGGGGCCGATCCGATCCAGTATCGGTATCGGGACCGATACCAGCGTAATTCACGTATCGGATTTTCCCGATCCAACCTGCGGAGATATCCGATATCCATGAGCCATGTCTGCGCTTTAACGTAGTCTGCTGAAACGACTCCAAAAGTGATTCCCGCGGCCCGCCGGCTAGTCTGCTAGCTGGCTGCAAACTGTGGGTTGGATATCCTGAACGGAGGTGCGGCTCAATGAGACACAGAGACCCCCCCTCAGGAAATCCATTCCGCAGTTTGCAGCCAGCTAGCAGGATAGCATTGAGCTGCCAACATGTTCGCTGTGTGGAAATCCTATGGTGGAAATACTTCACACTGGAAACACCACAGCAGAGCAAGACAGCAAAATGCAATGTTTGCAAAGCCGTATTAATTAAACCATTTGTCTGTGATGCATGTTTGCTATTCGCAGTCCAGAAGAGAAAGAGAGAGATCTCTCATGGGCCTTTCACACAGGACGCGGAAAGCGCTGCGCTGCGCTATGAAACCCATTCATTTCAATGGCTTGCGCCGCGCGAAGACGTTTTGTTGCTGCGTCGAGCAAAGCGCAAGCGCAGCGGTGCGCACCATTGACTTGCTCGCGCGCACGCCGCGGTCAAAGTTCAAAATAGTTTAACTTTTGCCGCTGCGCTCTGTGACGATTATCAGCGCGGCCAATAGAAACGGGACATCCAAACAAACACGGAAATCAAAATGGATGAACGGCTAGTACTGTGTGTATCGGAATTTCCTGAGCTCTATGATACAAGTTTGAGGTCGTATAGGGACATCGGCAGAAAAGCTGTGTCATGGAGACATATCTCCATTCAAGTTGGCATGTCAGGTGTGTTTTAATATATATATAATTGGTTCCTTTGTGTCAGCTTTAATGTTTGAATAAATGTTTTATTCTAAAAAAGAACTGAGCTCATGATTCGTGTGTTGATTTCTTCTCATTAGCAGGACTAGTGCTATCGCTCGCTTCTTAGCACGGGACAGATACATAACGTTAGTTTACTGCTGACCGAAAGGAGGAACAACAATCAAAATAACTATACTTATTACTGACATATAGAACTCCCGCTTAAAAGGTTTTTGAAAACTCCGCCTACTTTGCTCTGGCATAGCGCAGCGCAAATCGCGTTGTATCTGAAGGGCAACGCTGAACCCAGCGGCCAGCGCAGCGCAGCGCAGCGCATTCCGCGTCCTGTGTGAAAGCCCCTTCAAGCGGTGCCACAGCGCGCACAACACGACAGCCCATCAGCATGATCGGTGATTGTTGTAAAATGCAGTCTCTACTGTTGCTAAATTGCGGGACGCTTTTAATAATAAAAAAAGCTATTAAAAGCACAAAAATCTGCGCAAGAGAAGCTGTTCCCGCGTCGCGCGCTCCGAAACAGACCGCAACGAGACAAGCACATTATACTTTGGGCTTCATATGCACGTCTAAACGATCAAATGTAGCCTACACAAAAATGTCAAAATGACCGGCTTGGAGATTCACTTAAACAGTTTGTCTAAAATGGACGTAGTTATGGAAATAGTTGGGAGAAAATATGGTGCACTCGTTCTTAAAGGGGAAGCAGTCTAATAAACATGCTGACGATTGCTCCATTACTGAGAATCAAACAACAAAAGGCAAAGAGAAAATCACTCACAGCTCTTGAATGAATAACTTTAGCTTTAATAAGCATAAATCTATCTATGAAAAACTTTGCAGTGCTATTTTACTTTTGATTACTTTATTATAATTATTTTTAGACCATACCTGAATATTGTTAGTAGACCTGAAATTAAAGCACTGTGTAGGCCTGTATAATGTGTATCTTTGTTTAATTGTCTATCTTTTGTTTATCTATTGTTTAATATATATATATATATATATATATATATATATATATATATATATATTGACATACATGCATACATACGTACATATCATACTTGCCTGTAGAGAGGAGTTTATTTCAGCATCATATAAAATCAACAATAATGATAATAATAATATTAAAGCAAACACAGCTCTGGTATCGGAAAAGTATCGGTATCGGCCGATATCCAAATTCAGGTATCGGGATCGGATCGGAAGTGAAAAAATGTGGATCGGTGCATCCCTACCTGAAATATTTCAGTTGGTGTGCAATGAATCTAAAATATATGAAAGTTTAATTTTTAACATTAAATAATGAACTTTATCACAATATGCTAATTTTTTTAGAAGGACCTGTATATATATATATGTGTGTGTGTGTGTATAATATATGTGATAAATATATATATATACAATATACGTATATATTCAATATTATTTAGTAATTGAAAATGACTACACATATTAAAAAACTATAATATATATATATATATATATATATATATATATATATATATATATATATATATGAAAAGCTATGTATAAAAACAGTAACAATTCACAATGAGGTCTCATTTGTTAACATTAGTTAATGCATTAACTAACATGAACTAACAATGAACAATACATGTGTTACAGTATTTAATAATCTTTGTTAATGTTATAAAAATACTGTCGTTCATTGTTTGTTCATGTTCATTTTTTTGTAATGTATTAGTAAATGTTGAAATTAATATTAACTAAGATTAATAAATGCTGTAGAAGTATTGTTCATTCTTAGTTCATGTTATCTAATGTTAACTAATGAAACCTTTAATGAATTTTGTCTAAATAAAATATAAATAGCAAAATACTGAATATTTAAATATATAATATATTTAAAATATTTACATGTACTGTAGTATATATTAAATTACATACCAATTATATATAATTATAATATAATATATAATAAATCCATTTTTAATAAATATAAATGTTTTATATATATATATTTATATATATATACACACACAGTGTATATATATGTATACACAGTATTAGAACATATATACATTTAAATGTTTTTTTAATAAATATTGTCTAAATATTGAATATTTTTACTAACTTGTGAAAGACTTGTATGGCTTAATATGATATGATATGATATGATATGATATGATATGAATGAGATTTAATTGTTCGTATATAAATGTTTGTGTACTCCTCGTCCTGCAGGCTGCTCTGGCCGTGTGGATCACGATTCTCCGGTTCATGGGTGACCTTCCAGAACCCAAATACCACACGGCCATCAGCGACGGCAGCGAGAAGATTCCTGTCATGACCAAGATCTACGAGACGCTTGGCAAGAAAACCTACAAGAGAGAGCTGCAGGCTCTGCAGGGAGAAGGAGAGGTACTGGAGGCAAAGAAAGAGTGAAGGAGAAGATTACAAATACACCAGGAACATTAATGCACGTTTTCATGATTTATAAGTCACTTTATGCGTCCATCTCTTACAGAACACTCACATTGACAGTCACAAAAAGAGCAGTGTGCGTCACAAGCTGGTGTCGCTCACCCTGAAGAAGAAGTCGAAGATTACAGAGGAGGTGAGTGATGCTGTTACCATGATGATTTTATCATGGTACCCTTCCTTATTCCTTTCTTTCCACAAGCGCTCTTTTGGTTTTTGAACTCAGTGACCCTCTTAAGACACTGATTTCACAGGTATGAGCCACTGCTATGCAGATATTCATTCCCCTGTCAGCAAAGGAGGTTATTAGGTGTCATGAACTTTCCTTCCACCAAACAGATGTGAAAGAACCAATCGGCTATTAATTGCACAAAAAATAACAATTAACTAGATGAAACCACAACCACCAAATGTGGGTCACTGGATAAAAAACTTTAGATCTGTCTTTAAATGGACACATGACATTTTTATACAAAGGTAGACACCTGTTATTATGTATCTTGATGCATTGAAAATGAACTGATCTGTATGGAATTTGGACCCATTCCCCTGCTGAACCTTTTATTTAAGTCTCCTACTTCTCCTACTATACATTTTCAGTGTTTAATGGTGACAATTATCACGTCTGGTCTAATGTTCCCCTTCTTACTCCCTAGCCTAGACGTTTAATAGCCAAAGAGTTAATAGCCTTAAACGTAACACCATCTCATCATGTTTTTTGTGTTTTCTTCTATTTCTTTTGCTCCATCATGCATGCTGGGCCACTGCTATTGTCAATGAATGTTTAGCTCATTATTTGCAATTTGTATCAAATTAAAGTTTAAAAAGAATAACCAATCAGCTTCCTCAGATACAAAACATCTTGACTTTAAAGAAGACGGATCGATTTAGTAACGTTGACATCTACCGTACAATAGCTATTAAACTTCTTTTAAACTGACTTTTTAACATGTTCATTTAAATTAGTGTACAGTTGCTATATTAATGCTTCATTCATTCATTCAAATAAATGTCCATCTTTGTTGTGGCTATTTTGGTGGATTGCATTTATATTTCCAGTGCTTTATCTGATGTATTTTGTTCATTTCAAACCTGATCCTGATTTAAAGTATTTTCCTCTTTTTTCTCTCTCTCTAGGTGACGAAGCGTCTGAATGATGGTGAATACACAGTCCATGGAAACAGCATGCTGGAGGACCGACCCACATCCAATCTGGAGAAGCTACACTTTATCATCGGCAACGGCATCCTTCGGCCAGGCTTGAGGTCAGACACTGGATATGAAAAAATATAATATAGATTTAATCACCCTCAAAAGAAATGTATATGTATACACACACACACACACACACACACACACACACACACACACACACACACACACACACACACACACACACACACACACACACACACACACACACACACACACACACACACACACACTATATATATACATATATATATATATATTAGTGTGTGTGTGTGGTTCAGGTATTCCCTACCCAGGTATTCTTTAACCTTGAAAGGACATGTATAGTCCCCATGAGGAAAACGCTGGCTTATAAATCATACTACATGTTGTTTTTGGAAAATGTAAAAATGCAGAAGTTTTGTGTGATGGGTAGGTTTAGGGGTAGGGTTAGTGTAAGGGGATTGAATATATCCCTGTTTGTACAGCATAAAATTCATTGTCTATGGAAAGTCCTCATAAAACATGTAAACCAAGTGAGTGTGTGTGTGTGTGTGTGTAACAACAACCCAAACAACCCTAAACAATCCTCTTCCTGCTGTTTCTTCCAGAGATGAGATCTACTGTCAGATCTGTAAGCAGCTGACCCAGAATCCCTCTAAAAGCAGTCACGCCCGCGGCTGGATCCTCATGTCTCTGTGTGTCGGCTGCTTCGCTCCATCCGAGAAGTTTGTGAAGGTGAGAAATGCTGCTTATTTATAAACTCTTTTCTTTTGTCACTCTTCACATTATCTTCTCTTCTCGTTTCCTCTTCTTACATGTAGCTTTATCTGTGATCGGTGCATGTGTAATATTTCAACCACAGACAAATGCTTTAATCATTTCTGGTAAATATTTAGGTACTTACTAATATATGGGTACATTTATTTGACCATCAGAGACTCAACATTTGATATTGAAGATGTATTTTTTTTTGTTCCCCCTTGAAATAGTGATAAAAAATAGCATTGTGAGTTTTCAAGGTTAAAAAATTTCACTGCTGTCAAAATGTATTATAGAAGTACATGTGCTTTGACTTTGCCAATATGTTCCTTGCCAATATTTTTGCCGAAACCAAGATATTTTAATGTGAAAGCAGCTTCTGACACGCTCTAAAGTTTCATTAAGCTACATTAAAAATAATTTGAAATATATATCTGTCATCTACTGTTTTGCGGTGTGTATAACACCTTTAACCTTATTATTTGTTATTCTCAGGTTAGGTAAAGTAAATCGAGTCTGGCCTAAATTATAAGCATTTTAAATTACTTACACTTTGGTCTGAAGACTTCTCTGTGGTACGTTCTTGCTTAAAGTCAAGTCAAGTCAAGTCAAATATATTTATATAGCGCTTTTCACAATACAGATTGTATCAAAGCTGCTTCACAGTATCAATCAAAACAACCTAAGAGTGTTTGTTTATTACTGGAAAAAAGACATCCAAGCTTGGTAGAGCTAGTCAATGGTATGATGGGTCATTTAATTTGAAAATCCCCAAACTGAGCAAGCCAAAGGCAACAGTGGCAAGGAACCGAAAAACTCCATCAAGTGACCCGATGGTGTCCTAAAACTCCATCAGATGACCCGACGGAGAAAAAAAAAACCTTGGGAGAACCCAGGCTCAGTGGGGGCCAGTTCTCCTCTGGCGTTTATGAAGTAGAGGCCGAATTTACAGTAACTGTAAGATAAAAATTTTATATGAATGCCTGACTAAAAAGATGCGTCTTTAGTCTAGTTTTAAACTGGGAGAGCGAGTCTGAGCAACGAACAATATCAGGAAGGCTATTCCAGAGCTTCGGAGCTAAATGTGAAAATGCTCTCCCTCCTTTGGTGGATCTGGATATCCTAGGAATGACCAGAAGCCTCGAATTTAGTGATCTTAAAGAGCGCGATGGATTATAGGGCGATAGAAGATCCGTTAAATAGACTGGAGCTAAACCATTTAGAGCTTTATAAGTCAAAAGCAATACCTTGTAATTAATACGGAACTTTATAGGTAACCAATGAAGTGACGATAAAATCGGTGTTATATGATCATATTTTCTTGATCTAGTAAGAACTCTAGCGGCTGCATTTTGGACTAACTGTAGCTTGTTTATTGAAGATGCAGGACAACCAGCTAATAAAGCATTACAGTAATCTAGTCTCGAGGTCATGAATGCATGAACTAACTTTTCTGCATCAGAGTCTGATAGCATATTACGTAGCTTAGCAATGTTTCCAAGGTGGAAAAAGGCTGTTTTTGTAACATATGAAATGTGCTTTTCAAAAGACAGGTTGCAGTCTAATGTAACACCCAGGTCTTTTACTGTAGCGGATAAAGTAACAGGGCATCCTAATATGTTAAAGTCGTGCTGTGAAAAGTTTTGTGGACGGTTTTTAGAACCGATAAGTATTACCTCTGTCTTGTCTGGATTTAATAAAAGAAAATTACGCGTCATCCAATCTTTTATATCTTTAACACACTCTGTCAATTTGGATAATTTAGCGTATTCATCTGGCCGTGATGAAATATATATTTGAGTGTCATCAGCATAACAATGGAAACTAATTCCATGTTTCCTTAGAATATTACCAAGTGGCAGCATATATATTGAGAATAATAAAGGGCCTAACACAGATCCCTGCGGCACTCCATAGTTTGCCGAAGTTACGATCGATTTTTCTCCATTTAAGTAGACGAAATGGTAGCGTTCAGATAAGTATGACCTGAACCAGCTTAATGCTTGTCCTTGAACACCAGTGTAATTTTGAAGTCGATCTAAGAGTATTGTGTGATCTATAGTGTCGAACGCAGCGCTAAGATCGAGTAAAACTAGTACTGAGATACAGCCTTGGTCAGAAGCTAAAAGTAAATCATTTGTGATTCTAACAAGCGCAGTTTCAGTGCTATGATGTGGCCTGAATCCAGACTGAAACTTTTCATAGATGTCGTTTTCTTGCAAGAAAGAGCCGAGTTGAGCGAACACAACTTTTTCTAATATTTTAGACATAAATGTAAGATTTGAAATGGGTCTGTAGTTTGCTAGGTTATTTGGGTCTAATTGTGGTTTCTTAATAAGAGGTTTTATAACTGCCAGCTTGAATGTGCTTGGAACATGACCTAAAGATAAAGACGAGTTAATGATATTGAGAAGAGGCTCTTCCACTACAGGTAACACTTCTTTCAATAGTTTAGTTGGTATAGGATCTAATAAGCATGTTGTTGTTTTAGATGAAGCGATAAGTTTATTTAACTCTTTTTGTTCTATGGTTGTAAAGCATTGTAATTGTTCTCGCGGGGTGATAATTGCGACTGAATTACAAGGCGCGAGCAAAGATTGAGCGTTTACGATTGTGGTTCTGATGCTTTCAATTTTCTCGGTGAAGAAGTTCATGAATTCATTACTACTAAACTGTAAAGAGGTATTTTGTTCAGGCGACGTCTGTTTATTTGTTAGTCTAGCCACGGTATTAAATAAAAACCTTGGATTATTTCGGTTGTTTTCTATTAGTTTGCGGAGATGCTCAGCCCTGGCCGTTTTAAGGGCCTTTTTATAACGTGACATACTGTCTTTCCACGTGATTCTAAAGACCTCTAAATGAGTTTTTTTCCATTTACGCTCTAAATTACGGGTCTCTCTCTTTAAAGCATACGTAGTATTATTGTACCATGGTGCAATACTTTTTTCTCTGACCTTTTTCAATATAATGGGTGCAACAGTATCCAATGTTCTAGAGAGAATGGAGCACATAGTGCTAGTTAATTCGTCTAATTCATCTGTTTGTTTGGGTTCGGGCAGCAGCTGAGTCAGATCAGATAAGCTATTTGAGAAATGATCTACGGTGGATGGAAGGATTGTTCTACCTGGTCGATAACGCGGCGCAGCATGACATATTATAGGAGTGAGTAGGCCTAATATACAAGTTACCATGTAGTGGTCAGTGACATCATCACTTTGTGGAATGATATCTATATCGGTTGGATCGGTTCCGTATGATATAATTAAATCGAGTGTTTGATTAAGACGATGAGTTGGTCCGGTGACGTTTTGCTTGACTCCGAAGGAGTTTAATAAATCTGTGAACGCAGCCCCTAACGCATCATTTGTGTTATCTACGTGTATGTTAAAATCTCCAACAATTAATGCTTTATCGACCTTGACCAATAGATCTGATAGAAAGTCTGCAAACTCTTTTAGGAAATCGGCGTAAGGCCCTGGAGGTCTATATATGGTAGCCAATGCTAGAGATAATAGGGATTTTTTTCTTACATCTAAGAGCGTAACATTTAACACAAGTACTTCAAACGAATTAAACCTGTGACGAGTTTTCTGAGTAACATTAAGAATATCTCTGTAGATTGTTGCAACACCGCCGCCACGACCGATCAGACGGGGCTCATGCTTATAACAGTATCCTGGTGGAGTAGACTCATTTAGACCGAAATAATCATTTGGTTTAAGCCAGGTTTCAGTAAGACACAGAACATTGAAATTATTATCTGTGACCATTTCATTTACAATAACCGCCTTAGGTGTGAGCGATCTAATGTTTAGAAGACCTAGCTTTATGAATTGTTTTTGTTTTTGTTCACTAATAGCGAGATTTTTTGTTTTAATAACAATTAGATTTTTTCTTGATCCCGCGGTAGATTTATTATTTGATCTCAGTAAACGAGGAATAGACACAGTTTCTATGCAATGTTCTACACTAGTAGTAATATCGATTAGATTGGTGCAGTAGAGACTGTGATTTGGATTTTTGGTTACTAGTCAAACGGTCTTTAACATCTTGGAGATGTTATCCGACATAAGATCTGCTCCGATTCTACTTGGGTGTAAGCCATCAGCGCGGAAAAGCCTCGGTCGCACCCAAAACAGATTCCAATTATTTACAAAGAGCAGTTTCTGCTCATTGCACCATGACAATAACCATTCATTTAGCGCGAATAATCTACTGAACTTTTCATGCCCTTGTCGGTACGTAGGAAGCGGTCCAGACACAATAATCGATGTTTCAGGCGATGTTCTGCGTACCGTATCAATAAGGCTCCTGAAGTCTTTCTTCAGAACCTCCGTCTGTCGCAGCCTAATGTCGTTAGCTCCCGCGTGCAGCACAACAGCTCCGACGCGCTCGTCACCGTTCAAGATCTCAGTTACTCGCGCAGTGATATCGAGAACACGAGCACCAGGAAAGCAATGAGTGTGCACTAGGGCTGTAACGATACGCGATATAAAATCGAAATCGCGATACTCAGGTCCACGATCCTGTATCGCGATGTGAGAAGGCAGAATCGCGATCACACCCCTTCCAACTCCCAGAGTTATCCTTCCTGTCCAGAACCAGGGCTCGAATTTCGGCGCGGGATTGCGGGTATTGCGCATAATTCTAATCATTCCCGCAGGTCTCCCATTTATAATGCGGGAAATTCCCGCAATCGTAATCCACACAGATAATAAAATCAAATCATTCTTTTAACAACTATCTTCCAGACGCAATTTCACAAACAGCGTGAGTGTTCAGCGGGGCCGCGCGTCTTCTATCTCTTCCAGGGGCGGAGTGGGACCAAAAAATCTACCGGGAAATTTCGTAGACCACCGGCCCTCGTCGCCGGCAGGGCCGGATTAAGAGCCCCCTGGGCACAATGTCTTGTAGGTCCCCTCTTAGGCAGGCCAAATGTATATTTTGTCCAGGGACATTTTAATACGGCATTTACAGTTTTACTGATTTAAAAGTAACTTTGTTGTACTATGCTGGAGTAAAGTTCATAAATGGTCGTTCTTTCCCATAGGAATTTTTAAAACTATGTTGGGTGGACCTCTGTGCCTCTAGGGGGGTTCGGGGGCATGCTCCCCCGCAAGATTTTTTTTTACATTTTAAGGTTAAATGCATCAATCTCGTGCTCTTTGAGAGATCAAAATTAAGAGCTTCAACCCATGAACTGCTCGTTGAACAAAGAAAAAGCATTGATTTGTACCAGGACAATAAAGAGGGCATCTTTTTAGTTATGAGAGTCTCAGTCTGCATTACATTATCAATGATGTTTTAGGATGCCAAACAATTATTATTATAATGTAATAATGATTTATATAATTATTCCTATGACGTAAAATCCATTTAGCCTATAAATGTACTATATAAATGAAAATGAATATTTCAAAGTATATTTTAGCCTACATTACACTATAATATAGGACAATTACAATATTTTTGTCCTTATTTCTTCATTTGCAAGAAATAAACCCTTGAGCTTTTATTTAGGAGAAAACACCAGATAGCCATGCTGATCGCGTGAGCAAAGTAATCACGCAGCACAGACAGGATGCCTATTCTTAAAGTCTTGTGCTGTTTTATAAAGACACAAAGCCATATCATGGTTTCAATTTTAGTTCGTTGGCAAAATATAACGCTAGAGACCTTAATGTTAGGTTATACATTTTACATCTTTACATATGTGTTGGGAAAAGGGAGAAGAGAGAGTTCGGCAAAAGGCGGATTCGAACTCGGGTCGAGCGCATCAAAAGCTGCTTTCAAGCACTTCACGCCCAACGACCTACGCCACTGTAGCTGTTTCGTAACGAGTGTCTTTTTGCATTAAAGACAGGCACTTAGTGCAAATATACTCTGTTATAGAAAATGTTTAAAAAAAAATGTTTTCTTCCCCTCGCTTGGGCCCCAAGTGCGCATGGCGAATTTGCAATGAATATATTTTATCAGACCGGCCCTCGCGGCCTCGAAACAATACCGGCCCACCGGGAAAACTCCCGACTCTCCCGATTGCCACTCCGCTACTGATCTCTTCTCATAATGTGTTGCGCAAGGCAGGCATCAAGCGCTGCGGCGATAATACACACTCGCGTTTTGGAGTCGGGACCATAGACTGTAAGGTCGGGACATGACGGAATATTCACTTGCACAATCGGGCCAGCAGTGCATCGTGACTGAAGTCTTTTTAAGTCTTACCAGTTTAAACATTCAAGCGATTTTAAACTAATCAGTGCTCGCGCGCTCTCTGAGATTATTTTCTATGCGCACATTCATAGAAAATCCGCCTCAAAAACAGCTAGCTAGTAACTATTTTTCGCGGATTATATTGTTTTAACACGCAAAATTGTCAATTTCGGTCTTTGTGAGTAGGCTATACTCTAAATATAGTCGGTTTTGTCTTTAATAAGCATAAAACGCATGCCATAATGAACACAGGATACGTGCACTAGCTCTTAAAGTGAACGCAGCCATATGTGTCTGTCATTAATTTTGTTGTCAAAACAACAAAAGATGGCTTTAAGTTAAAGGAATCAGGATTAATAGCCTATGTATTTAATTTATTCAGGACTAAAATACTACCCAGTGTTATTTTCCATTTGATTACTTTATTGAGTATCTGTATATGAATAGGCTACTAGTGTTAGACCTATTCAAAAACTTTTCTCTTTAATTGTCTTTATTTGTATCTTTATTCTATTGTATTTATTTGTGCTACTTTTTTCAATTTAATTAAACAATTTAAATCAAGCTTCCTTGTGATGTGTAAATTCTTAACAACAATAGGCTATTACCCCATTGTAAAAATGCAATGAGCGCAAACATTTAGGCAAGGTAAATGTAATAATTTTGTTTGGAAAAAATGCCCCCCCTTTCTCCCCCTCAAATGATAAATTATTTAAAATTTGGCAATTTCAGCATTATGGACGTGAAATTTGCAGCCAAAACTTGAAATATAAATTCTCAGAAAGTGCATTAAATTAATCCTCAATTGACCGGCAACACGTCCAACATGCAGAACATGCACCATCCGGAAATCAATTTAGTTGGAGTACAGAACACAGCCCAAAAGCAGCAGCCTACACTGCCTAGTATAGTATAATAATTTGCATAGTTATTATTGTTTTTTGGTGTTTAGATTATACAGGTTTTTCCTAATGTTATTTAATAAAAATACCGGTATTTTTTTTCTTCTCTCAAAATCTCTTTTTTCCACCACAAGCCCCGCCCCCTCAAGCCCCGCCCCCGTGATAGAATCGCGATACGAATCGAATCGTGGGTCAAAAATCGTGATACGAATCGAATCGTGGGTTTGGTGTATCGTTACAGCCCTAGTGTGCACCTTACTTTTACCTAACGTAGCATGGACGTGTCGGACCGTGGAATCGCCGATGATCACAGCATCGTGTTCCGTTTCACGAAGAGGGGAGAAGCGGTTCTGGGTGGAGATCTCGAAAACCGGGAGGGGCGAAAAGATTCTTGTCCTGGCTCGCGGCTTCCGCGGAACCACCCAGGCTTCGTGGTGGTGTGTTGGAGCCGGAGTGAATGAAACCATGGCTGATCGTGACCTGGACGCTCGGGACCAATGCTGAGAAACGCGTGGAGTGGACGAGGTCAGGGACAGCGGGTTACTAACGTTAATCACTGATCCGTGTGCATCAGCGCGTGATGTTTCAAGAGCTAAACGCCGGTCTCTCAGCTCAGCTTGTCTCTCTAGAAGGTCACGGATCTGTTTTTCTACTGCCTCTAATTCAGACTGCACCGCGAGCAAATCAGATTTGTTCTCATCTGCACCAAAAGGTAAATAACATACATCTGATATATTCGCCATTTTAACAGATGGACAGTAAGTTAGCAATGATGCAACCAGTGATGCTATTAATATTTATAGCACTACTAATTTATGACTCGAGTCTTAGGTATAATAAATAGTCTCTGGTATAATCCGTCTTTTTAGTGGAACGAGTGTAATGTAGACGCAGGATAGACGGGAAAATGTTCGTTTGTAAATGAGTAAGAACGCGTTTGGCAATCGATCGCAGGGCGAGCAGCAGTGAAGCAGTGTCTCGCTCTACAACCAACAACAAAAAGTTCCAACCGTATTTGCGGTTAGTAAGTGAGTGTAAAGAACGCGTTTGGCAATCGATCGCAGGGCGAGCAGCAGTGAAGCGGTGTCTCGCTCTACAACCAACAACCAAAGGTTAAAGCCTTACTAACGAGGCTTTGATTTTTAGTGTTGTATTTTGTAATCAATTAAATTTTAATATCAATATTATTTTTTTATAATAAACAAAAATGTAAAGGCAAAAAAAAAAACGATTTAGTATAACAACATTATTATATTGTTCGCACAATTTACTTAAACCAAGGGAACGAATTAGTAAATCACCCCAGTGAGTTTTCAGTGGTTAATTCTGACCAATTATGATTATGATTATTGAAAGTTCAGTATGTCTTCCTGTAGTACCTGAGGAACTTCATCAGTGAGGGTCCTCCGGGTTACGCTCCCTATTGTGAGGAGAGACTGAGGAGAACGTTTGTGAACGGAACAAGAACACAACCACCATCCTGGCTAGAGCTTCAGGTATCAATAACTGATTTAACTGATGATATCTGCTCTATTAATAACCAGTATAGTTCTGCTGCTTTTTTCCATGCTACAAAAGTTGACAAGTGACTCTGTCAAACTCCAGGCACAATAAAAGCTGTCCATATGATGTCTTCTTTTGACAATTTTATCCAAGGCCACAAAATCAAAGAAGCCGATAATGCTACCTGTGACGTTTATGGACGGAACCACAAAAACACTTTTGACGGACTCTGCGACCACAGCCATGGAGCTCTGCAACGCACTGTCCGACAAGATCAGCCTCCAGGATCGATTCGGCTTCTCGCTGTACATTGCTCTGTTTGATAAGGTACACGCACTCACAACCAAGATCGGTTTGGTTCAGTTATTGTGTTCTGTTGTTCATTTAACCCTATGAAACGTATTCGGTTACCTAACGTAACCTCGGTTCTCTCTAGAGAGGGAACGAGTATTGCGTAAGTTTAGCTTACGCTACGGGTAAAGTTCATCTTTGCTCGAGATATTGAAGCCAAAATTATCCTTAATTTTGTATATATTGTCAACGCAGTGCAGCAGCTGCAGACCTAGAGCAGGCTGTCTAGCGTGCTCATTGGCTGCCTTGCGGCAACTGCAGCAGCCTACCAGTGAGCCTGGCGTGACGTCACGCCCAATGGTGGCACTTCGCGCCCACTACGCGTCACAGCCCGTGCAAGGGGGTGTGGCTTAGCGTATAAAAGCGCAGGAAGCACTGGGCCCAAACGAGGAAGCGTTCTGCCAGATCGCAGAGGCTCCTGGATCTGACACCGCCCTGGCGGTTCACGTAGGACACAACCGACATGTTGTCCGAGCGGACTAGAACGTGTTGGTCCTGTATGAACGGGAGGAAGCACTTCAGCGCGTTCTCGACCGCCAGCATCTCCAGACAGTTTATGTGAAGGCATTTCTCTCGGTCTGACCACAGGCCAAAGACCGGTCTGCCCTCGAAAAGGCCGCCCCAACCTGAGTTCGCTCCCATTGTCACCCCCTGCTGGTACCAATTGGCCGCTAACCAGGGCTGCAGAGCTGAAATGCAGCTCTGAGATATCCTGATCCGCTTGTAGCCACGCGTCCACCCCTGACGGGGTACGCGGGCGTTCAACCAGCGTTGTAGCGGGCGCATGCGCAGTAAGCCCAGCTGAAGCACTGTTGCAGCTGAGGCCATACAGCCCAGCATCCTCTGAAATTTTTTCAGGGAGGCGGTTCTGCCCTTCTGGAAAGATACGGCTAGGTGTCGAACACGGCGCGCGCGCTCTGTCGACAGCTGAGCCTTCATAGCCACGGAGTCCAGTTCCATCCCTAAAAAGGAGATTGACTGGCTGGGCTGTAATGAGCTCTTGGTCCAGTTGACCGTGAGACCCAATCTTTCCAAGTGACTGAGAAGCATAGTTCTGTGAGATACGAGCTCTATCTCTGACTGTGCTAGAATCAGCCAGTCGTCCAAGTAGTTCAGAATTCGCACACCCTGACATCTGAGGGGGGCGAGCGCCGCGTCCATGCACTTCGTAAATGTACGGGGTGCCAGGGACAGGCCGAACGGGAGGACGGTGTACTGATATCCCTGGCCGTCGAAGGCGAATCTCAAGAATGGCCGGTGACGGGTATAATCTGTATCTGAAAATACGAGTCTTTCAGATCAAGAGATATAAACCAGTCCCTCGGGCGAATTTGCACGAGGATCTGCCTGGTTGTAATCATTTTGAACGGTCTCCTCATGAGAGCTTTGTTCAAAAATCTCAGATCTAATATAGGCCTCAGGCCTCCATCCTTCTTCGGTACGAGAAAATAACGGCTGTAAAAGCCTGACTCGCTCAGAGAAGGCGGCACTGGTTCTATAGCTCCTTTGCACAGCAGTTTGGCTATTTCTGCGCGGAGTAGATGTGCTACTTTCGCGCTCACTGTCGACTCGGTCCGAGCGTGAAAACTCGGGGGACGGCGAGCGAACTGTAGTGCATAGCCCTGTCTTATTGTGCTCAGCACCCACTCTGAAACCCCTGGAATGGCTTCCCATGCTTGTGCATGTGTGGCCAGGGGGAGAATGGCCTCCGGGTTCCGGTCGCCGCACATCTCGAGAAAAGATGAACTTTACCCGTAGCATAAACTAAACTTACGCAATACGAGAGAACCTCTCGTAAGAGAACTTACTGGACTGAAGCATCTTAGGTTTACTTGATTATTGAACCTTTTTTTTCTTTTTTTTAAATCATGTTAAAATGTGAGAATCAAATATAATCTATCAGGAACCTTTATTTGTTCGTCCCTTAATCATTATTGCATTGCATTGTATGTTTTAAAACTACAGAGGTTTGATCATAAAACTAAATATTTTAAATATTTATATTTAAATATAACATTTCAATATTTTATTAAGAATATTATTGGCAGAAACGCAAAAAATGCTTATAAATATCAGCTTTTATTCTAAGTACTTGCTATACTTTTATAAAGATCTCACTGATTTATATTACAAGTTATCAGAATCTTACTTTTTGGCCATATAAATATCAGCATCTGCACTAAATTGCTTGGGGTTTTTTTTGTGCTTAATAAAATTCAGGTGTTTTTCTCCTCCATATTCTTACTATATCGTACTATATGAGCCATAAATGTCTGTTTTGTTTTTCCTTTAGATTTTTTACAAATATTTTGTTTAAAGTTTCAATAAACATATTCTGACTGTTATTTTATGTCAGGCTTTACAGGGTTAAGAACGTTTTTTTGGACTCTATTTGTGTCAGGTTTCCTCTCTGGGCAGCGGTAATGATCACGTGATGGACGCTGTTTCCCAGTGTGAGCAGTACGCTAAAGAGCAGGGCGCTCAGGAGCGCAACGCCCCCTGGAGGTTGTTCTTCAGGAAGGAGATATTCACCCCCTGGCACGACCCAGCGGAGGACGCCGTCGCTACAAACCTTGTCTACCAGCAGATCGTGCGTGGCGTCAAGTTTGGCGAATACCGCTGTGATCGGGTATGAACCTCAGACACAGAAAACAAGCCAATAAATTGAGTTATCATTCACACTATATTTCTAAGGAGGGAATATTCTCTTTCTCTTTTGCTTTTTGTCTGTTTTTCTACTCTTCTGTTTCTCCTTTTCCTCTTTTGATGATCTTTATTTGTCTTCGCACATCTATTTTTCTTGCACTCTTTCTGTATCTTGTATCTTCCGGGAGGAGGAGGATCTAGCGGAGCTGGCGTCACAACAGTACTACGTGGACTACGGCTCTGAGATTCTTGTGGAACGCCTGTTAAGTCTTATTCCATCCTACATCCCGGACAGAGAGATCAGCTCGGCCAAAACCGTGGAGAGATGGGCTCAGCTCATAATGGCTGCACACAAAAAGGTGGCAAAAGTTCATCTCAACTGTCATATGAATGGACTTAAAGGAATTGTTCACCCAAAAATGTATATTATGTCATCATTTACTCACCCTCAAGTTGTTCCAAACTTGTATGAATTTATTTCCTCTGCTGAACACAAAAGGAGATATTTTGAAGAATGTCGGTAACCAAACATTTTTTTCCCCATATTTTTGGTTACCAATATTCTTCTAAATGTCTTCTTTTGTGTCCGGAAGAAGAAACAAACTCATACAGGTTTGGAACAACTTGAGGGTGAGTAAATGATGACAGAATTTTCATTTTTGGGTGAACAATCCTTCTCATGCCCATTCACACCAGGGATGAGTCCACACCACAACTATAACAATGACGGGATAGAGAAACAATATAGTTAGAATCACTTTAACAATGATTTTTTCCAGCTGATGAATGATAAATCATTGGCAGCCAATCAGAATCCATCCTGCTTTAAAGAGCTTTAGCATTTATAGTTATCATTCTTGGTGTGACCAGGCCTTAGATGTGATATTTGGAATGGAAGACTAGTCTACTGCATACTGCGTTGTATATTCAGTATTGTATGCCACCTGCTATTTTTTTAAATAGCATGCAGTATGACATGATAAATGTTTTAAAGAGTAATGTGCTACAGTATATTGTGCCACATGATTTCACTAATTGCATTCAGCAAGTGGCGTCCAGTCGAGAAAATCTCATAATACTTCATATTTCATATTTCACCCCCCCCCCCCCACCAAAAAATTGTTTTATATATATATATAGTATATATTAAATGAAGAGAATGAGAATTAAATTAGCTGTCACAAATAGGCTTTAAAACAGAAATCTTAAAAAAGGCTTAAAAATCTACAGAAAACGTAATTTTTGCATAAAGAAATGAAAGCCTATTTTAGGGCCCAGGCCATATTTTAGGCGGAAAAAAAAAGAAATTATATTTTGCATTAAGAAAAGCTTATTTTAGGATCATTAAGATTTTCTATATTTGTGTCATTTTTTTTTAAGCTGCAGTCCGCAGTTTTTCCTCTTTGTCGCCATTTCTGTTCGAAATCTGCAATTGCAGTCATTCGCGGAATTATCAACTTTAAGTGAGTTGTGCCTCGGCACGGCACAGCGCGGATGAATCCAATGTTTGAGGAGAGTGTGCAGCTGTCAGTCACCGCCGGTGTGGATACTGGCATTCGCAATCACAGATTATTCTTTTTGGAAGTATGACCAACATAATCATTTTCACTGGAAAATGTAATCTGAACAAGTAAGTAACATCCACTTTTGTTCTGGTTCTGACATTGCAGTAAATCTTGCTGATTAAATCTAATGACTACATGTAATGCCCTTCCGATATTATCCTTGTTTTCGCATGGGTCCGGTTACAGTCTCTTTTTTTCTGTAGCCACTCCGAAGTCTTTTGCATTTTACAGCGGGTGAATCTCTAGTTGTCACTGGTGATTGTTGTTTGAACCTTTCTGGATCCGCCATCAAATTTATTAGTTTAATTATATCAAGTGCTGTGAGAAAAGGCTATAAATCTCCACCTCCAACATCCTCACACGCAATATAGCTTATACTAGCCGAGACTCCTTCTTTATGTGTACAGATGTGACGTAATGACGCAAAGACATGCTCAAATTTCCTGCGGAAATCCACCAGTACCACTGGAATTAAAAACATTATTACAAGCTTACCGTTTTGAATCGAGCTAAGGCAAGCAGAGAGTTTTGAACACTGGCTGGTTATGTATTTTCTCAAATATGTATTTTGGATAATTTTTTAACCCCAAAAAAGCTACGGACTGCAGCTTTAAGAAAATTGATTACATTTGAGAAAAAAATCTCATTCTCTGTATAAAATAACGCATATGAGAAAAATTATAAAATCTTTTTAAAAAATTGTTAGAATTTTGGGGATAAAATGTGTCCTAGACATGTTTTTGTTAGACTAGCAATTTTTTGTCTTAACTTTTGGCAGTTCGGTCAAATGAGTCAAGAAAAATCCTTTCAGTGTTATCCTTTCCTGTGTTATAAAACAACTGCTGATATTATTGTCGGTTCATTCGTCACAATGGAAACGGAAAGTCATTTCAGCACATTGCATTGTGGGATACAGTATCTCACAGTGTATTTCGGTTGAATTCTGCACATTTTTGCTGATGTACTGTAAGTATTTAATGCAAATAGAAAATAAACACCATGCACAGTATACACACTGCATACTTCTTTCCTTCAAAAGTAGTAGGTAGTATGCCATTCTGAACTCAGTCATCGGGATGTATTTGAATTGTCACACTACAATCAAAGAAGTTTTTAGGGGACACACCTTACAATAAGGTTCCATTTGTTAACATTAGTTAACTATATTAGTTTACGAGAACTAACAATGAAAAATACATTTCAACATTTACTAATACATTATTAAAATCTACATTTATGTCTGTTAATATTATTTAATGATCCTCAGCTAACATGAACTAACAATTAATTTTAAAAATGAATAAAAACTGTAACAAATGTATTGCGCATTGTTAGTTAGTTTGTAAAATGTTAGCGTTGTTAGTAACACATTGTGTTGTGTGTGTAGGGAATCTACACTCAGAAGAGGGTGGACCCTCAGAAAGTGAAGGAGGAAGTCGTGGATTTTGCTCGTTATAAGTGGCCTTTGTTATTCTCAAGATTCTACGAGGCCTTTAAATTCTCAGGTATTTCTTGCGCAATTTATGTCACATTAATAAGGTTCTTGTGTTTTGTTCTGCATGTTTACAGATGGCTTTGATATATTGAATCTGTTTGAAGGTCCTAGCCTACCCAAGAATGACGTGATAGTGGCTGTAAACTGGACAGGCGTTTACTTTGTGGACGAGCAAGAGCAGGTTCTTTTGGAGCTTTCTTTCCCAGAGATCACCGGTGTGTCCAGCAGCAGGTACGGGTTTCACTGAGTCTTGTTTGGAGGTTTGATATGATTTGAGCTTTGAAGATAAAAGCCTCTGTGTTTGCCAGAGGGGGGAAGCTTCAGGCCCAGAGCTTCACGTTAGCCACCATCAAAGCAGAGGAGTACACGTTCACCTCTAATAATGCAGAGGACATCCGGGACCTGGTGGTCACCTTCCTAGAGGGTCTCAGGAAGAGATCCAAGTTTGTTGTGGCCTTACAGGACAACCCCAGTCCAGGTTAAAGAAGCACAAACACATCATATCAATGGACTTTTACACTTTTTTTTTCTTTCATTTAAACGAATAAATCTTTAAAATACATGTCCAGATTAAATTTCAGCCAAAAATCAATAGAAAAAAATGAAGAAATTATATTTCGCATAAAGAAAATAAAGCCTATTTTAGCGCCCAGAAAGAAAAATATATATAATTCTATCTTTCATTATATATAATTCTATATTTCATCCCAAAATCAAAAGAAAAAATTAAGAAATTTTGCATTAAAAATAAAACCTATTTTAAGGCCCATTTTATACTTAAGACCAAAATCAAAAGAAAATAATATGAAATTATATTTTATATGAAAATATAAAGATATAAAGCCTATGGCCCATTTAAAATAAATTTTTTGCAAGCCTATTTAGGGCCCAGATCATATTTTAGTCCGAAATCAAAAGAAAATGGTAACACTTTACAATAAGGTTTCTTTTGTTAACATCAGTTCTCTATATTAAATAATGCTAATATTTTGTAATATATTATAAAATAATAAATAAACCTATTTGGTCACTCACAATACATAAAATTGTATTTTTATTTTGTTTTTTATTTATTTTATTTTATTTCTGACTGACATTTTTTTGACATTTCTTTAGCATCACTTACAGTCGTTCTCTTCATTCATGTAACTCATTTCTCCTGATCAGCTGGCGATGATTCGACGTTCATGAGCTTCCTAAAAGGCGACCTCATTCTGCTGGACCAGGACACGGGCGAGCAGGTCATGACGTCAGGCTGGGCCCACGGGATCAACGACAGAACCAAACAGAAAGGAGATTTCCCTGCCGACTGTGTTTATGTGCTGCCCACAGTCGTTAGACCTGCACCTGAAATCGTGGTACTGATTTTTTTTTAACATTATGTTTAGAGGTCGTTGCATATTTATAATTTCAGTCTTGTATGATTCATGTCTCTACTTAAACCTTCTCCCTTTCTCTGTCCCTGTCTTGTGTTCTCTCTCTCTCTCTCTCTCTCTCTCTCTCTCTCTCTCGTGCACTCTCTGTGACTTTACGGCTCAGGCTTTGGTTACCATGACACCAGACCAACGTCAGGAGTCAATCCGGATTTCCCATGTCCCTATAACGGAGACGGAGGAGAGGATAAAGCCGTATACTCTGGAGGAATTCTCATACGACTACTTCAGGTGAACAGACACCACTTCTGTCCCTACATCGTCTCGTCATCGTCTGTTTTAAATAATAAAATTCATAGTTATGCTGCAATCAGGACTCTTACTTAAAGTCTTTACTTTTGATTTGATTTTAAAGGCAATGCAAAATTGTCCTGTGATAATGTTCGTTGTTGTGGGCAGGAAGAAGACAAGGAATCGCTGGCTGGAACTCGGTAGACTCTTTATTGACTTCAGTCTAAGCACAAAGTAAAAGGCGGGGCTTTTAACACACCCAAAATAAACATAAAACGCGTGTCGTCGGTTTTGTCATGCAGTTCCTCTGCGCGTGCTCCGAGTCCCAGCGTGTGCAGGTCTCTCCTGTCACTGCTTCCTGCTGGCTTATATCCTGTCCCTCCACCCAATTACTGAAACAAGAGACAGGTGTTATCACTTGACCCACTTACAAGTCCTCGTCCTCCCACTCTCTCTCCCGTCACAGACTTCGCTAAACCACGCCCCCCTTGCCACATGTCCCTATTTACTTTCTTAATACATGTTCCTGGTCTTATTGTGCACTATTCATCATTGCAGGTTTTTCTAAAGAAAATACAATTTAATTGAACAAAGAAATCAAAGAATATACACAATTAACTCATTCAAATGCGTATACATGACCCTCATTGACCCTGGACCCTCTCCACTCATCCAGGCCTCCTCCCAAACACACTCTCAGTCGAGTGATGATCACCAAGAACCGCGGGAAGGACAAACTGTGGAGCTGCACTCGAGAACCCATCAAGCAGGCCCTTCTGAAGAAGTGTGTGGGCCATGAGGAGCTTTCCCAGGAGGCCTGCATGGCTTTCATTGATATCCTTCAGAAAACAGACACAGATGCATGAAAAATATAATTCATATCTTTCTTTTCATATTTTGGGCTGACCTGGGCTTGAAATAGGCTTTATTTTCTGTATTCAAACACACACACACACACACACACACACACACACGTGTGTGTGTTGAATTCAGAAAATAAAGCCTATTTCAATAGGCTTGATTTTTTGTTTTTCCTGAAATATGACCTGGGCCCTAAAATAGGTTTTATTTTCTTTATGTTTTTGTTTCTTTTCATTTTGCCCTGAAATATGACCTATGCCCTAAAATAGGTGTTATTTTAAACATTAAATATTAAAAATGTTATTTTGCTAGAGAGTAATGTGATTTAATTTGGTTTTATTCTTAAAGTCCCCCTGAGGTGAAAATCCAGCTTTTAATGTTGTTTATATGTCTATGTGGTGTTTTTAATATGCTTTAAGACAAACCATGTTCAAATTAATAAGTCAGCACCATTGTTAAATATTTTCTCCTTAAAACTGCAGTGAACCAAAGCCTGTCTCAATAACGTGGTTTGTAATCGCTGGTGTTTCTGACGTCACAAACTACCTTGCAACCAATGTGTACACGTCAATGTGTGATCGTCTGAGCTGGTGTGAGTGAGTGGAGGCGGGGCTAATTTGCATATTCATAGAACTGCAAACACTAAGTGAGGAAAGTGTGTAGAGTTACATTCAAGATTTTTTTTTTTAAACATGTCATTTTGGTGATTAAAAATGAGTTTTAAGGGATAACATTGTTGACTACAGGGGGACTTTAACACTAGAAGCTCATGGGTATTATCTTCTTTCTGAACGTTAATCATCCTTGACCTGCTCTCCTGCACCTATAATGAAATATATGGGCGATTATCCATCTAAGCGGACTCGTTCTGTGAACGAGCTCACGGATCAGATCTTCGAGAGTGCGCTGAAGGCGGAGCCTCTTAAAGACGAGATTTTCTGCCAGATACTCAAACAAATGACTGACAACCACGTCAAGTATGTCCCTCCTTTACAAACATAGCCAGACGCTGTGATTTCTTCCAATGAGCTCTGCCGTTTTAAAAGATGTCAGGCTGCATTTATTTGATAAAAAATGCTGTAATATTGTGAAATATTATTGCAATTTAAAATAACTGTTTTCTATTTGAATACAGTTTAAAATGTCATTTATTATTGTGATGTAAAGCTGAATTTTCAGCATCATTACTCCTTCACATGATCCTTCAGAAATAATTCTAATATGCTGATTTGCTGCTCAAGAAACATTTCTTCTTATTATTATTATTATCAATGTTGAAAACAGTTGTGTTTTCACAACTAAATCGCCCAGCTGTGCTGCTTCAGATTATTTTTTTTTTAACTGTGATACTTTTTAGTATTCTTAGATTAATAGAAAGTTCAAAAGAATTTCAAAATAGTAAAGACCTTTAGAATGTTACAAAAGATTTGTCACTTTTGATCAACTTAATGCATCCTTGCAGAATGAAGGTTTTAATTTCTTAATGTCCTCAAACTTTCGCACAGTAGTGTATGTTCTGCTCGCTGTCATTCATATCAGCTGTTGATAGTTTAACTGCAATGTTTTGTCTGTTTGTGTAGGTACAGTGAGGAGAAGGGCTGGGAGTTGCTTTGGCTGTGTGCCGGTCTCTTCCCTCCCAGTAACGTCCTCTTACCACACGTCCAGAGGTTTCTACAGTCGAAGAAACATCACCCGTTGGCTCCTGACTGCATGCAGAGACTGCAGAAAGCTTTACGGTGACGACACTCCCTCACCTCACGTACAATTGCATGTACTGTACATGCACAAACAGGCATGCATATATTGTATCTAGAGCCTATTTATATCGCAAAGATAGTCGTATCTGGAGTAGCATGTCCATGTCAGAGGCATTTTGTCTGTCAGAGAGAACAGTAAATGTAGTGTGCCTGGTTTGTTGAACTGGCTTAGAAGGGCACTTCTAAGACCGCTTATTTATTTTATTATATTTTTATTTCTTTATTTTCAATTCTTTGACAGTTTAGAATGGTTACAGCTGTCGTCTTCCTTCATATAACTTATTTATCCTGATGAGCTGGTGATACTTCACTGCTTTTGGAGAAGCAAAGACAACATAAACTCTCAGACATATGGTGCATTCAAGTCATGCCAGAAAGATCGCATTTACGACTTGAATGCACATGAACACCAAATTCGACAAAGCCATGATTATGTGTTAATTATGGAAACTCACAAAGTAGGATGTGTGAGTGAAAAAACATGGCAGAAGCAATGGATGCAACTTCTGTGGTTGAAGGTAAATTTGTAAAAAAAAGAAAAGAAAAAAAAAGAGAGAGTAAAAAAAGGCCTGGTGTGCATTTTTGTGTTCTTCACTTTGTAGTTTATTTTTGTTTGTAATTAAGATATTGTTCAGCAGTGTTAGGTGTAATTCATTACTGTAATTTAATTATTCCCTTGAAAAAGTACAGTAAGGGATTACTCTTAATTTTTCTGTAATCTAATTAGTTACTTATGATGTAAATGCATTAAATACTGTATAGACTAGAAGAATTCTATATAAAACAATAGAGGATTTAACATCAAAATAACGTCTAATGTTAAAATGTATGTTTTTAATGTTACCTTCTCCCTTTAAAAACATTGGTAAGTTCAAGAATAATTCATGCAATTTTATATTATTTGAAAGAATTAAAAGAGCCGTTTCATGTCTATCTTTGTATTGTTCAACTGGTCGAGATTGATATGGGATTTACAAAGTAATAAGTAATCCAAGACTTTGTAGAGGTGGTTATTTGTACAGTAATCTTATTAGTTGTAATTTAAGATGTAAATAGCCGCTTGTAATGAATCACTTTTTCACTAACCATAAAAGTGGTTGAACAAGTGACTTGAACACACCTGCTGTCGTAATTACGATTTAACAACTTGAACGCCAATACTCCTAAAATGGCTCTTCCTGAAGCTTACGCATTATTCCCGAAGGCTCCTTCCCCTCCGATTATGTTCTGTAATTATTATGTATATATCTGCAGTGTGAAATGAAGCACTTTTGTCTTGATATTGTGTCCTTTTTATCTCTTTCTTTCACACTGTTTTTCTTTGTCTGTCAGCTCCATTCTGAGCTTTATTTGGGATGTTTTCTAGTTCTGATGAATATGACACGTCTGTGTGAGGAGTTTTATAGTGTGAATGTCTCATCATGGATGCCGTATGTGTGTGTTTGTGTGCAGGAACGGGTCCCGAAAATATCCCCCTCACCTGGTCGAGGTGGAGGCTATTCAGCACAAGACCACACAGATCTTTCATAAAGTGTACTTTCCTGATGACACAGATGAGGTGAGATATGCTTTCATATGCTTATGACTCATCAAATATATTGGGATGAGAATGTTTTATGAATGCTAAAGTCAGCTTCACATTTCTGCTTTTAACCCCGTAAAGCCTGACATGAAGTGAAAATCGTACTAATTTAAAAGATTTTTCTTTAAATGGATACATCAGGCTTTTATGGCTCATATAGAATCATATTGTGAGAATATGGTGAAAAAAGACAGCTCAATTTTATTCATAGGCCCAAACTGAGCAAAAATATGCAATTTGGTGCAGTTGCTGATATTTCTATGACCAAAAAGTAAGATGAAATTCTTATCACTCTCAATGTGAATCAACAAGATTTTTAGAACAATATAGCGACTACTTATATAAAATGCATATACATATCAGTTGTCGCTTTATATCTGCCAATAATACTGTATGTCTTAGTTGATATATAAATGCTTAGTTTTATGATCAACAGAGAAACAATGCAATGCAATATATTGATGACTGAGGGATGGATCATATTTGATACTCGCATATAACATGATTTTTCTGTGTATGGATAATCAAGTAAACATAAGTTGCTTCAGTCCAGCAAGTTTTCATCATGAAATATTACTAGCAATATAAAAGTTATTTTTTACATTTACTTTCACAGCATACAAACGCGTGTGAACCTTTTAGAATTACACTAAAAGACCTGTTACTTGCTAATAAAAGTATAAACTATCAATCAAACGACAGAAGGTAGAAGTAGATTGTGTAGAACAGGCTTTTCAGCATCATTTTGGTCATGTTGCTGATTTAGAAGCCTTAGAATTTTGTGAATCAACTATGATACATTAGGTTTTATAGGGTTAAACCCTCCCGGAATATTTTGGATACGGTCTTTGGATGGGTAAAGGCAGACTGTGAAGGTTCCCGTTGTCTGTTTTCAGGCGTTTGAGGTGGAGTCCAGCACGAAGGCCAAAGACTTCTGCCTGAACATCTCCACCAGACTGCTGCTCAAATCACCTGAAGGCTTCAGTCTGTTTGTCAAGATCTCCGATAAGGTAAACATCACACTGTGAGGAAGAACAGCATCTGTGGGATTTCAGTGGGATTTTGCTCATGTAGCACATGTTCCCTAATCTTTTGTCCTTGAACAATCTTTCATGCCTAACCCAACTCTAACCATTAACTAGGTAGGTTATGGGAATACAATAGTATACAATTCCTATCAAGATGTATTTCATATTATTTGATCTGGTTTTGTGCATTATAGGTGATAAGTGTACCTGAGGGTGATTTCTTCTTTGACTTTGTCCGCCATTTGACAGACTGGATCAAGAAAGCAAGACCCGCTAAAGAAGGTACAACCGGGAATAACATCTACTGCACAATTATGGTTTACTCTGTCATGTGTACTCACAAAACATTACATTTGGAATTATTTGAATGTTCGGGGTTAGTAAGATGTTTTTATGTTTTTGAAAGGGAAAAGCTTAGGCTGCATTTATTTGATCAAAAATATAGTAAATACTGTTCTCTATTTGAATATGTTTAAATGTCATTTATTCCTGTGATGCAAAGCTGAATTTTCAGCATCATTACTCCAGTCTTCAGTGTCACATGATCCTTCAGAAATCAGTCTAATATGATGATTTGCTGCTCAAGAAGCATTTCTTATTATTATCAATTTTGAAATCAGTTGTGCTGCTTCATATTTTTGTGGAAAACGTGATAAAAAAAATTCAGGATTGTTTGATTCATAGAAAGTTCAAAAAGAATAGCATTTATTTGCAACGTTGCAAGTGTCTTAACTGTCACTTTTGATTAATTTAACACATCCTTGCTGAATAAAAGTATTATTTTGTTCAAAAAAAAAAAATTCTGACCCCAAACTTTTGAAGTGCAACGGTTTTACAATCGCCGTATCCACTGCCAAAGTGTAGTTTTGTATTTTTAGGAAAAGGGTAGCAGAATGAAAGCCTGCTCAGTAAGTAAACACTGTAACATAACGGGTCTTCCTCTGGTGTTCAGGTATAGTGCCTTCATTGACCTACCAGGTGTTTTTCATGAAGAAGCTGTGGACGATCACAGTTCCAGGCAAAGACTCCTTCGCAGACTCCATCTTCCATTATTATCAGGTGAGCTTCATAAACATCCAAATACTACATCATGAAACCACAGACACTGGGATAAAACCCTGAATTATATACATCAGCTTATCTTTATAACACTTCCCATGTGAAGGAACTTCCTAAGTATCTCCGTGGATACCACAAATGCTCCAGAGAAGAGGTTTTCCAGCTCGGCGCTCTGATCTACCGGGTCAAATTTGAGGATGACAAATCCCACTTTCCCAGTATTCCCAAGATGCTGAAGGAGCTGATTCCTCAGGACCTGATCCGCCAGCTCTCGCCTGACGACTGGAAAAGGGTTTGTCACACTTTCAATGTTCTTGGCTGTGTGCGTCCTTTAAATAAACATCCCTGTAGTTGTATTGACTAAATATACATCATTTTTATGATCCGACTGGCTCGCCCTCATCTGTCCCTCCTCTTGTTGCAGTCGATTGTGGCGTTCTTCAACAGACAAGCTGGGAAATCAAGGGAAGAAGCCAAGCTGATGTTTCTGAAGCTCATTTTCAAATGGCCCACGTTTGGTTCAGCCTTTTTTGAAGTGAAGGTAACTGTGCTATATTCACTTGTGGTTTGGAAAGCTGGTATTTTCCTACTTGCTATAAGCTTTTTGGAGCTCAGTGTTCAGTATGTCTTTTTTTTCTTTGGATGGACCAATCAGTCTCTTGATATTTTAAATTTTGCTCCCGTAGCAAACCACCGAGCCACACTTCCCCGAGATCCTGCTGATAGCCATCAACAAATATGGAGTCAGCCTAATCGACCCCAAGAACAAGGTGTGTTCTCGCAACTTATATAATGCAATTAACGTCAAGCACACAAAACATGCGCACACATTTGGATTGGGGCCGAATGAGAGGAAGTGAGTCCATGTTTATTTGTATAGCGTATTTCCACATGCCGATAGTTTCAGTTTCTCCTTTAAATTCACTTAGGCTTGGTATTTATAATAAATATCATTTATAATGAATGGCACTATAATTTATGTTTGTTTTGTTCTTATATTTTTCTTTCTTGTTCAGTTGTGAATACTGTTAAATTGAAAGGATTTGTTGTTCAGTGAGGGAAACTAAAATACATGTTTATAGGATTTATAATGTTTGTAAATCACAACATATTGTTAATATATATATATATATATATATATATAATAGTATCTCGATGATACTAAAATAATAGTGATATAGTATACTGATATATTAGTGCTGTCAAATCGATTAATCGCATCTAACATAAAAGTTTGTGTTTACATAATATATGTGTCTGTATATATTATAAAATGTATATATCATATATGTTTGTGTGTGTGCATGTGTGTATATATATATATATGGACCAATCAGTCCATAGGACCGTGTATATATATATATATATATATATATATATATATATATATATATATATATACAGTAGTCAACATTTGAAGTGGATCAAAACCTTTCTTCAAAGTCATACATGAATTTTGAACAATACCCGTTCTTGTCTTAGGACAACTTTGATGAACTTTTTTGATCCACTTCAAATGTTGACTACTATATATATAGTATATACACAGACATATATGATATATATAAATATAACTATGACTAATAAAAAATACAAAAAACCGTAACAGTGTCTTTTTAATGTGTATATAGTTTTTAATATTTATTTAGTTTTAGTTTCTAGTATAAATTTAAACTAAATGAAAATGAGAAATGTTGCTTTGGCAACTAGCTGAAATAAAACAAGTTTAGGAATAAACTAGAATGCATTGCAAACAAACTAAGTGTAGTTTAATAGTATACAATTAATACTATAATAGTATATAAATAATACTATTTATATTTAGTATTATATACATACTATTGTATGCTTTTATTTTATATTTTAGTTTTACTAAATGTATGTGCATTTGTCATTTTTATTAGTTTTTTATATTTTATTTGATTTCAAGCAACAGTTATTTTAATGGTGTGTGTCCAATGTTTTTGCTCTCCGTACTGATCCCAGTGTGATGCTTGCGTTTCCTGTTTTCTTGATCCGCAGGATATTTTAACCACGTATCCCTTCACGAAGATTTCCAACTGGAGCAGCGGGAACACGTACTTCCACATCACTATCGGGAACCTGGTTCAAGGCAGCAAACTTCTGTGTGAGACTTCACTGGTGAGAGAAACTCTACTTAAGCCCTGTTCACACTACAAGCGACAAAGCGACACAATACCATTCATTTCAATGGGGAGCGGGCGATTTCCGGCAACACGCGCGACAGCGAACGTTGGCGACCGGATGGGGCGTGTCTGGTGACGCGACAAAGTTGAGATCTGTTTAACTTTATGCAAATGAAGAGCGAATTTCAGGAGCGACAATATGGAGCTAGAAATGTGTCTTTATTACATGCGAGAAAATAAATGATTTGAGAGGGAAAAAAAAGTTTGAGAGAAAAAGTTATCACACTGATAGCAAAAAAGCATTTCATGAGAGAAAAAATAATATTTGAGAGAAAAAGTTTTCATACCAATAGCAAAAAATGATATTTGAGACTAAAAAAAGTTTTGAGAGAAAGTATTTTCTCATAGAACATAAAAAAATATAAATTTGAAATTTTTAAAATTATTTCTGAGAAAAAAATCTCTCTCAAAATACTTTGAAAAAAATCTCAAGTATATATTTTTTGCTATCAGTGTGAAAACATTTTCTCTCTAAAAAAAAGTGTTTCTCTCAAACCGCTTTTCTTTGCTCTCGATGCAATTTTTTGCTCTCGTGTCAGGTTTTTGCTTTAGCTGTGAAAATTGTGTCATGGGCGGGGCCACTTTTTTTTTTTCCTATTGGAACGTTCCTATTGGCCAGTCGGTTTGAGCATCGTCTTGTCTTGGGAGTCGAACTGAATCATTACACCATTGTTCGCGTTCGGTTCACCTAGATAGATGCCGCCTCTGCCTTAGAGTTTAGATTCTCTGCCCGAGCCCGAGCCGATATTTCCCGTCACTATCCTCGGGCCGGGCCGGGCCGGGCCTTTGATCTAGAGACGTGCACTCCCAACGCAAAAGAGTGCGGCGCGGGACTAGATTTGATGGCCGAGTGCGGGCTGTAATGCACTCACTCTGTGTGTGTGTGGGTTGCGGGAGAATAAACCGATTCGTGGGACTCCCGCAAACTAGAAATATCTATGAATAAAACATAAAAATGAATATATTTTTATTCATCTGTTGCAGAAAAGCAACAAGAACAACTAAAACAAAATACAAATGATTTACAGGCCAGAGTTTTGTTTTATAACATGTTTGCAGCGTTGAGCGATGTAGCCAATCACAGACATATGTGTTGATTTCTTGAACGCAATGGCCAATCAGAAGTATTCAAGATAGATTCACCGCTCAAAACTGACTTTTTGTTCAGAGCTGAATTCTGTATGCTGGCAAATCCTCTAATTATAACAAACAAAGTGTATATATTATGAAAGATTCATTGTGCAGTCATCTTCATTGATAATAATAGAGATGTGTGAGATCGCGATGAACTGATGTCAGCTTTAGGAATTATTAAGGGAGCGCACTTTGCGCGCATTCAGTCATGCCAAACCATGCACACAGTAGCCTGCTTGATTTTATGTTATAACAGTGGTTTGTGTGTTAATGCTTTAATAACACATAATTTATCAGGAGCATGTATGCTGATGTGTATGATGGCGACACGTAGGCTAACTTGAAAGTATTTGGAAGTGCAGAACAGAGGAGGAGGAGAAAGTAACATGGAAAGTAGTTGAGAACGTCAGTTATAACGACCCACTTATTAAAATGGTCGGGTTTAAATCGGGCTCGGGCTCATAATTATAGTTAATGTGTCGGGCCGGGCTCGGACACAACGTGCACGGGCTCGGGTAGGGTCGGGCTTGATTTTTTGGGGCCCGATCTAAGCTCTAAGTTGAGCATGGACACTCCAATGTTTGAGTAAGATGATGACACACACAACTCCTATGTTAGGAGTGGCTGAGCAAGTTCAGCATCACTGAAGATTAAACATTAAAAATAGCACTCATATTCATGAATGAATGTGCATTATATTATTAGCTTGCTAATCGCTAGTAAAGCTAATTATTAATTAGCCATCATGCTAGGTAAACTTGCATGAGTGCTATTTTTTAATGTTTAATCTTCAGTGATGCTGAACTTGCTCAGCCAGCTACCCATCGAGTTGTGTGTGTGTCATCATTTTACCTAAACATTGGAGTGTCTGTGCTCAACTAAGGCAGAGGCGGCATCTATCTAGGTGAACCGAACGCGAACAATGGTGTAATGATTCAGTTCGACTCCCAAGACAAGATGATGCTCACCCGACTGGCCAATAGGAACGTTCCAATAGGAAAAAAAGAACGTGGCCCCGCCCATGACACAATTTTCACAGCTAAAGCAAAATCCTGACACGAGAGCAAAAAATTGCATCGAGAGCAAAGAAAAGCGTTTTGAGAGAAACACTTTTTTTTAGAGAGAAAATGTTTTCACACTGATAGCAAAAAATATATATTTGAGATTTTTTTTCAAAGTATTTTGAGAGAGATGTTTTTCTCAGAAATAATAAAAAAAAAATCAAATTTATATGAAATTAATTTCAATTTTTTTATGCTCTATGAGAAAGTACTTTCTCTCAACTTTTTTTAGTCTCAAATATTATTTTTTGCTATTGGTATGAAAACTTTTTTCTATTATTTTTTCTCTCATGAAATGCTTTTTTGCTATCAGTGTGATAACTTTTTCTCTCAAACTTTTTTTTTCTTCTCTTAGATCATTTATTTTCTCGCATGTAATAAAGACACATTTCTAGCTCCATACGACAACCAATAGGAGTGAAGTCAGTGGAGCGCGTCACTCTTGAGAAGCTCATTTTAGCAGTCAGAAACTGTCCTTATCATATATCTCCGTGTACATACAGTGGTATTCACCGTACCGACTCCGTGCCTGAATGGTTTCGGGAACCCAGATAGACCGGTATTTGCCCGTTTGCTGCAGTTAAATAGCTGCGATGGCAAAGAGCACTCACTGTTTCATGTTCATCTTTAATATAATGCATTTTATGTACTGATTCCATTTATATTTCGACTTTTCCTTCCACAATGTTTGTTTGTAGCGGCAAGAAAACGTATTTGTTGTCTACAACAGAGTAACATCCGTGAATGTCACTCACAAACATTACCAGGCAACCAGTAGTGGGAACGCCCTCCAGCGCAGACACTGGCGACCTGCAGCGACAAAGTCGCTTGTAGTGTGAACGGGGCTTTACTCTACATGCAACATAATTATTAGTATGATGCAACTGTGCTGCTATTTGCCTTTTTTAACGAGGTTCATATAGTAAATAATTTATTAAAGGAAATTTGTTTTCTTCATAACAGGGCTACAAAATGGATGACCTGTTGACGTCCTACATTAGCCAGATGTTGACCACCATGAGCAAGCAGCGTAACTCCCGCGGCCACAGCAAGTGAACGTTTGATTGGCGTGAGGCGGTGGAGCTGGTGCGTCTGCTGCGCCCTATTGGTCGGCCCTGTAGCTGGGGGCGGGCCTTCGCGTCCCAGCTGTGGCGAATGAGCCGCACCCCCTCTGCCAGCTCCCAGGGCTCCGTGTACCCCGATGAAGACTCTTCTTCATCTGCCTCCAGTGAGGATGACTACCTCTGAGCAAAGCTGAAGGGACTTTGCCTCCTTAGAAATGGCGTGAAGAACCTGATTTATGTGTCTTTTGTTGGATGGTTTGCTCCAGAATATGTGTTCTACAGTATGACTTAATGCACAATTTAGGTACCATTTAATACGTTTTGTGAAATCCAGCCAAGTCAAACACGAACTGGAATGGCTTCGCTACATGCATCGCAAAGCGTTCATCAACATTTTGGAATTTTCCGCTGTATTCCTCACAATCACTGCAGTGAACGAACAGTATTTGGATTCTTTAGGTGGTAAACAACACTGTTAATGCACAAGAAAAATACTTGCCTGAGTTTCTAGGGGTTTTGATAGAATTCGAGAATTCTGTGATTTCAATTTAAGTTTTTAAAATATTGTTAAACTGCATGCCTTACTACTATTTTTTTTTTTTTTTTTTGAATATTGGTAACCGTTTTTACAGGCTTGAAAAATTGTTACATGTTCAACATTCATGCAGCTATGACTTGTAGTGTACGTGTACTTTAGGAAGGAAAAAAGAGAATGTTAAAATTGCATCCCTAGAAACAAGTCGAGAACTGTTTCAGATCGTATTTCTCCCATTTCAAGCAAAATAAAGAAATTATATTTTGCATACAGGAAAATGAAATGTTTTTAGAAAGCTAGTTGTAGAAGTCTATTGGTTGCACTGCCTTTGATGTATAATATAAAAACATTAAAAAGTAATAAAAAAAAGTGCATTTTATAGTGCATAAAAATGTCCAGAAGCACTGGGATTCATTGAGATAAAGAAAATTAGTAGGCATTACATAGCGTATACCATAAAAAAAAAATCTTCATGCTTTTGAAAACAAGATTCAATGTAAAAATGTAATTTTGTCTTTCTTTCTTCCTTTGAAATGATTTTGGGTTGAAATGTGACCTAGACATGTTTCCACGAGATTCGCCCAGTAGCTGATAAATAGATACGATAGAATGACGCCGTAGTTTTCCATTTTTGAAACTGTTGATGCTTGTGTATATTGGAAGAGTAGGTTTGATCTGTTAGACTTTTTCTTCAGTTCATTTATGGCCTTTATTTGCACCAATATGTCCTTCAGCACAATTATTTGACTGACTCACTGTGACATCAGAAACTCACCTGAACTACAGAGCACGTCTGTTTCTTGTTTTTCTGTGGTGATTAGCAGATAAAGTTCTGACTACTGTTATTTTGCCATAAATAACCTCTTTTATGTAACGCACCAGTTTAGTTATGAATAAAACTTTATATGAAACATTCCTGTAAAAAGTGCAGCGTTTATAACATGGGTTCAATATTTCTGTGATGTGATGCTGATATTCTCACATATAGATCGAAACCTTTTGTAAAGATACGTATTGAGGCATATCTTGAGTCTGCTAAAAATATTTTTATTTAGGCTAGAAGTGCTGATGATAGAGTAACAAAAAGAGACAACAAAGAAAATCTGATAATATCAGATCAGAATATTATTTAAGGTCAGTTTACAATCATATTTACAGTCTTGAGTTACATCGAAAGATTAAGTAAATAGAAATCACGCTAGGCATTGCATTTTATACAGGCAGGAATGTTGCAGCATCCCATGAAAAGAGCGAGAAAACATGTATGCAATCCAGCGCTCACTGTTTGAACATGCTGCATGTCTGCGGTACGATGAGCTCACGCATGGCCACTTCCAAAATAAAGACATTTCCAAGTTCATCAGTAGCCTTGTGTTATCAGAGGCGGATTAAATAGAGCACTTCTATACAACTCAAGAAGTTGCGTGCGAATTCACTTCAGCAATTCCACTGTCAAAAATCCCAACATCAAAATCTTTCACATTCAGATTGTCCGTTTGGCTTGTTATCGTCTTCCTGATTGTAAATGTTGGTCAAATTTGTCACACCATGCAATGGATCTGACATCTTAAATATTTCCAAAACACTCTTTGCGATGTCTATTTTACCATGCGTCGTTCTGCAGTAATCAGGCTTGCGTTGAAAAATAGGCAAATTCTGTCTTTGATAAAAACGAACTTCACAGAAGCAAAAGAAGCTGGATGATCGATTCATCTTATGCCACCAATTCAGACAATAATTGGTCAAATACATTTGATATTTTTAACAAAATATCACTAACATATGTTTTCTATGAATTACCTCTCAGAGTACCATGTAAACACCATGGTACATGAATTTCAAGGTACTGCCAAAGTATAAACCCCAGAATATATGTATACTGTGTGTGTATATATATATTGCACGATGATGCTGATATAGCGATGATGCTGACAGCGCTGGAGCTCAAGGTGGTCTGCAGGCTTTATGCCTTCCACAGATCTCTCCGTTGTCTTTTCAGATGGGCGGTTCCTCAGAAATGGTGGGCAGATTGGGAGTGAGGGGCGAGCTCTGAGCCTCTCCACGGACACTGATGCTGGAGATGGACCAGACGTCGCTCAGCTCTGCCGTACAGGGGAGGGAGAGAGACGATAGCGGCTCAGTAATGAGAGTGATGGAGGGTCAGATGGGTACGGGGAAGCCATGCACAGGGGGAACATGCACAGGGTCCAGGGAGAGTGACGGCCCGTCAAAGAACAGAGGGTTCCAGCGGATGCCTTGGACCTCAGAGTGTTCTACAGCACAGAGAGTCACATTCAAACAGCGCCACAGGACACAGAACTAGGGTTTCTGGGACGGTTGCTGGAAAATCGGACTAATACGATTTTTTTCTACTTCTCCTTTGCTTAGAAATGGTTTACTATTTAAATCAGGGATTTCCAAATCTTTTTTTTTTGTCATCTGAACCACTTTGAGGTAAAATATTTACATGTAGCCAGGATTAATATCGTTAACTATTTTTTTTTTAATCTGTTAATTGAAATAGCGTTGAAATAAAATAAAATATAAATAATAGTTAAAATGCTAAATGAAAATTAGAAATCTTGCCTTGCCAATAAACTAAAATAAGTTTAAGAAATAAATAACTAAACCTAACTAAAAAAAATATATATATATATAAATTAAAGAAATATTAAATAAAGAAAAATAAATAGCCATATTAAAATAATAATAAAATGACAAAAGCACAATGAAATTACTAAGGAAATTAAACTAAATTAACATGAAAACTAAAAACATCAGTCAATTCAAAATATTACACAACTATAATCAAACTAAAATGAAATCTCAAGGTGGCTTCAAGCAGTGTTATTTTAGTTAAGTAAATTTTTTTTTTTTTTTATATTTAAAAAAACTATTTATTTTTTTATTAATGATATAATAATTATTCTTCAACTAATGAAACCGATTTAGATTTTAATCCCAGACTTTCATGCAAAAACTATTTTATATAGTTTATATATCTAGTCTATATATCAACTATTTTCATATTTATAATAATATAAAAATATTTCATATGTATATAAGCTATACATAAGCTATACATACATGTGTGTGCGTGCTATATATACACACACAATATATATACACTACCGTTCAAAAGTTTGGGGTCAGTGAGAATTTTATTTTTATTTTTTGGAGGAAAGAAATCAATACTTTTATTTATCAAGGAATAATTAATTTGATCGAAAGTGACAGTAAAGACATTTATAATGTTACAAAAGTCTTTTGAACTTCCTATTCATCAAAGAATCCTAAAAAAAAAAAAAAAAACTGTACAACTGACAGACCAACAACTGTTTCAACATTGATAATAATAATAAATGTTTCTTGAGCATCAAATCCTCATATTAAACTGATTTGTGAAGGATCATTTGACACTGAAGACACTGACACTGGTGATGCTGAAAATTCAGCTTTGATCACAGGAATAAATTACACTTTACTATATATTCACACAGAAAACAGCTGATTTACACTGGAATAATATTTAATACTATAACTGATTTTTGTTGTATTTTTAATCAAATAAGCGCAGCCATGGTTAGCAGAAGAGAATTCTTTTAAAAGTATTTAAAATCGTACCGACCCCAAACTTTTGAACGGTAGTGTATATTATATGTAATGTGTACCGTGTACTAATACATATTGCATATCAACCATAACATACACACAAATGAGTACACAAGAACATTCTGGCTGTGTTCAGAATGGAAAGCGTAGTATACACTGTGTACTGCTTTTTTAAAGCACCATGTAGCAAGGGTACAATATGCAACAATAGAAATAATTCATCAGAAATAAATATGCTTATTTTGAATTCAAATTTTTGTCATTAGATAAAATAACTGGCAAGGAGGATGAGTTAAAATCGTGTTTGGATTAGGTTGACCAAAGATACAGTATCACACACACACAGTGTGCTCTGTTGTATATTGCAGATTTGGCAACAGTTGTATGATCATCTGCCATTCTGAAAATAGCCACCAATCTGTACAGCACATGCAGGACGACGTGCCAAAACCATGGCCAATGAGAGACTTCGAGCCAAAAATGAACAACTTACCAGTCCTGAACTTGCTGTACGGTCCATTCTCATTGACCTGTCTACTACCGGACCAGAAGGGCAAACCTCGCTCACGCCACCTGGAGGAGGAAACATCACACGCGGAGTTTAGCAGAATGTTGGCATGGTTCCCTTTTTAAGCCTTCAATTTGAATTCTGAGGAAGAACATTGGAAAAGACGTGGAATAACATGCTTTTAATAAAATGATGGAGAGAAATCTCTTATTAATCTAACAAATAAACAGTGGCCTGAAAATAGAAAACCAAAGGTGTTGGTATAAAATGGTCCTTTTTCCCGAGGATTGTTAAATTGTTAAAATGCTTTTTTGAGGCTATAATGTTACCCATAATCTATGTTTTGGTACATACTGCAATTGATGCAATTCTAATCTTGCATACTCTTTGCGAGATATTAATCAGATATTATGCAAATTTGATCTGGAAGATTTTGAACCTGTTGAAAGCCCTATTTGAAAACAGATCTGAACTTAAATGGTTGTAACTCATGAATGCATTGGAATACAGACTTAGGTTGGTCTCTTTTTAAAGAAGACTAAAGATTATTGCAGAAGTGAAAAAAATTCAAGTGTAAAAATGTTACTGTAAAGCAAATGCACAGAACTAAACATTTGATATTTTACTAAATAATTTGTACTCTAAGGTTGCTAGAAAATCAAAGCCGCATGTCTAACCAAGTTGTGTTCCAAATTTGAAGTTGCGATCACAAAAATTGAGCATCATCTATCCATCATCTATTGTGTTACCTTGGAAGCAATACTTTGAAGTGTTTGAGCTTTCGAATGATGCCTAATTTAAAATGATTGCTAAAATATGTGATTGGGAAAAAAGCAATAAAAAAAAGTGTGCCAATTGTCCCAATACTGGGACATTGCCAGTTACAGTACCAGACTGCAAATACTTGAACGTGTCATGCATGCATGTTTGAAACTAAACAGCAGGTTAGTCGAAGCAGAACTCACCAGTGGAATATGAAAACAGCAGTGATGAAGAAAGCAGAGACGATATCTGTCAGGATCCACATCAAACTGTATTCGTCTGGAGTCTGCGCCAGGATGTGTGAGGAAAAGAATCGTCACGGTCCTTTGAATGATAGAGTTGAATATTTGTGATCTCAATGCTAGGCTCAACTCACCATGAGGAACAGGGGGCGCTGCAGTTTCTTAAGGATGTGCAGGGCGTTGGTAGTGACCGAATGAACGCCGGCGCACCACGCCAGTGAATATAACCACGGCTGACTGATCACGTACAGGTTAGTGCTGATGTTCACAGAGGCGTACTTTCTGAAATCAGAATCACATTCACGGGAGGTTCAGGTTAGTGGACCGCGTTAAGAAGTTTCAGACTTTAATTGTAAAGCTTTTCTCTGCAATGCACCAGAAGATTACATTAGAAGACGAAAAGCAAGAAAAACATCTGATGTGAGTGTGTTCATTTGTGCTCTCAAGGTAGGCTTTGCTTTAAGTAGAATACTATTTAACAATATTTCTTATTGTGTGTGTGTGTGTGTGTGTGTGTGTGTGTGTGTATATACACACTGGAATGCTTGAATCTGATTGGTTTACAACGTTCTATGGTGTGCAAGTATTATCAGGGAAACGCACGGCTAAAGTAGTTCCAGGCAGGTCTTGACTCTTGACCACATTATAGTT